GCCCACCACCACCACCATCATCACCGCCACCACTTCCACCATCACCACCGAGCCCACCACCACCACCATCATTACCGCCACCACTTCCACCTCCACCAACATCGCCACCACAACCACCATCACCACCAAGCCCACCACCACCACCATCATCACCGCCACCACTTCCACCATCACCAACATCGCCAACACAACCACCATCATCACCGCCACCACTTCCACCTCACCAACATCGCCACCACAACCACCATCACCACCAAGCCCACCACCACCACCATCATCACCGCCACCACTTCCACCATCACCAACATCGCCAACACAACCACCATCATCACCGCCACCACTTCCACCATCACCAACATCGCCAACACAACCACCATCACCACCAAGCCCACCACCACCACCATCATCACCACCACCACTTCCACCATCACCACCGAGACCACCACCACCACCATCATCACCGCCACCACTTCCACCATCACCACCAAGACCACCACCACCACCATCATCACCGCCACCACTTCCACCATCACCACCAAGGCCACCACCACCACCATCATCACCACCACCACCTCCACCACCATCATCATCGCCACCACAACCACCATCACCACCAAGACCACCACCACCACCATCATCACCGCCACCACTTACACCATCACCAAGCCCACCACCACAACCACCATCACCACCAAGCACACCACCACCACCATCATCACCGCCACCACTTCCACCATCACCAAGCCCACCACTACAACCACCATCACCACCAAGCCCACCACCACCACCACCACCATCATCGCCACCACCACCACAATCATCACCTCCACCACTTCCACCTCCACCAACATCGCCACCACCACCACCATCACCATTAAGTCCACCACCACCAACATCATCACCACCACCACCACTTCCATCATCACCACCGCCACCACCCAGCCCAGCGCCGCCATCTCCTGCTCCTCCCAGCCCAGCGCCGCCATCTCCTGCTCCTCCCAGCCCAGCGCCGCCATCACCTGCTCCACCCAGCCCAGCGCCGCCATCACCTGCTCCTCCCAGCCCAGCGCCTCCATCGCCTGTGCAGCCCAGCCCAGCGCCACCATCGCCTGCTCCACCCAGCCCATCGCCTCCATCACCTGCTCCACCCAGCCCAGCGCCTCCATCGCCTGCGCAGCCCAGCCCAACGCCTCCATCGCCTGCTCCACCCAGCCCAGCGCCGCCATCGCCTGCGCAGCCCAGCCCAACGCCGCCATCGCCTGCTCCACCCAGCCCAGCGCCTCCATCGCCTGTGCAGCCCAGCCCAGCGCCACCATCGCCTGCTCCGCCCTTACCACCAAGCCCGTCACCAACCTCACCCCCAACTCCATTTCCAAGCCCACCTCCGCCAGCAACCCCAAGCCCGCTACCACCATCGCCACCACCTCTCCCACCATCCCCGTCACCATCACCATCACCATCACCACCATCGCCACTACCTCCTCCACTGTCCCCGCCACCATCCCCGCCATTTCGGCCAGCATCCCCATCCCCGCCAGCACCCCCATCTCCGCCAGCACCCCCATCCCCGCGACCATCCCCGCCACCATCCCCGCCACTTCCGCTAGCACCCCCATCCCCACCAGCACCCCCATCCCCGCCAGCACCCCCATCCCCGCCAGCACCCCCATCCCCGCCACCAACCGAAGATGCACCTCTACCCCCGACCCCACCACCCAAGTTACCGCCCAGTCCGCCAGGACTACCGCCTCCTAACCCGCCCTCCCCGTCACCACCTCCCAGTCCGTCGCCTTGGACCGCGCAATGGGCCTCTGTGCTGCCAAGTCCCCCACCGCCGCCGCCACCACCTCCCGCCTCCTTCACGTTGATCCGGCAGCCGCCAAGCCCTCCCCCCCCACCGCCAGAGGTTACAGTAAGTAAACCGCTCGTACCGCTGGCGGAAAACCCATCCAACGTGGCATCAACTATGGCAAGCAACGCCAATCGCTACGTGTGTGCTGTTTGCAGGTTGCGGCGGTTGCATTGGAACAGTCCGTTAACATTGTTGCCACAACAACTGTCGATGTCACGGCCCCCGAGGTAAGCACGAGGAGTTTTGGAACCCCCTTGCTAGTCGACCGCGTGTAGGGATCAGCCGGTACAGCCGCATGAAGCCCCTCTTGAGCCCGAGGCGGCGTGCGTGCGTGTGTCCGTTTTGCTTTTGCTTGGCACCCTGGCGGGGCCCGCTATCCGGCCGGTGGGTGGCAGCTGGCACTAAGGTTCGCAACGGTTAGCCACTCGAGTGCAGACCCCGCGACAAATGGTGCTTGTACGACATCTTATGTCACTACTGCTGCCGACTGCTTCACAGTACACTAGCAGCCTAGCTAGCTATAGTTTTACGTCATCACATCACCGACAATGTGCTCAATTCAAGCACCACCTTGCAGTGACAGCCGACATAGCTTCCAACGGCGCAGCCAACGGGAGATTAGTTGTGCCGATGAGCCGCTTGATAGAAATAGCTGGTGATGAAGTGTTTCACATCAAACGTGGTGTTTTGCACATTACTGGGAACGCTGCTGTGCGTGGTATGGGTACCTTCCCGTGCCTTGGCTTCCGTGCCTTGCTTGGTCCGTGTTTGCTTGCGTGGCTAGCAATACCTCGCAGAACAGACTTCAGGAGCGGCTTGCATCAGCAAATCTTTGGGTTCGCTTTAACCCCGTATTTCACACGTACACACATACGTACGTTGTATGCGTACGTCGTGTTGAAGTCCGCAACCGAGACGCGCTGATCTCAAGCTCGTATTGACTGCAGATTGTGCTGTTGGGCTCGTCCGAGGTTGTACTTCAAGTGTACGACATCTACACAGAGCTGGGCGCACAAGCAATCGACAACCAGGACGGTGTCTTGCCCGTTAACGTGCTTGGCGGCCCAGTCAACACGTCCTCCACCACGGCAGACAGGCCAATCATTGTGAGTGGTCCTCACTGCACTGTCGAGCGAGTACTCCGCTGTCCAGTGTAGATGTGCACGATTACCCGCTGGTTAGGTCGGTCGTTTGAAGTTCGCGACAGCCAGTTGGCATTTCCTACGTCGCCTATGTCCCACCTGCGCACACCTGCATTTTCTAGCTGTTAGGACGGGCAGCCGTGGCTTACATGTTGATGCCGTATATCGGAAAGTGCTTTGTACGGAAAGAAACCTGGAACCCGTATGTACGGAGCCCGACATCCATCCATCCATCCCTTTAATTTTCGTGCTAGGGATCGCATGCAACATCTTGGCCAGCTGCGCTGTTTATCTGGTGACTCAGCAGCCCTATTCGCGTAGCACTTTCGGGGGGCATGTGTGCAGCGGCCGCTTCTTGCCTTAGGGTTACCAGGCAGCTAACCATGTCGTGGTTAAGGAAGAAAGGAGCCCTGCCCAACTGGTAACCCGGCAGGCGCTAGAGCGCACAAATTAGAGACGACACTACCGGACCGCAGGCAGCATCGGAGTCTTTGAAGATTTAACAACCCGTTCGCGGGAAACACCCCTGACCTGACACGCTGTTTGTCGCGATACTATCGTGTCGGCATATGGCACCTTGCCAAAACAAATAATGATTACTTCAGGACTCTTAACCCCGGCGTGTATTAAGGGGATCAGCTAAAAAAAAAGTTGGGAGTCGTCATTGCTGGTAATCAGTTATTTTGTATGCGCCTGCGCCCCCTCATCCGTGTTGCCCGTTTCCCGAAATCATGCGACTGGCATGTTGCTGGGTGATCAAGCTGGGAATCAAGCCGCCCTGAAGCACACATGCCGGACTTTGTAGTAAACCGTTGCACATGCCATTATCATGCCTGGGGCAGAATTGGATCATAGCTATACGTGAAACATTCCGGGCAAAAAGGTCATATCTGTATTCGAACATGCGACATGCAATATATCGACCTAGTGTATGCCGCGTGCGCGGGTGGCGCGACATGAAACGAGACATCGCAATGTTCATCTTCCCCTAGCTATCTATACGCAGTTGGGGTACATGTCACAGTTATGAAGCAGCCCTCACCGTCTTGCCAGACGCGTCAAAAGGTAGGCCCATGACTGTATGATAACAGGTTGCGTGTTCATGGACCTGCTAGCCAGCCAACTAACTCAACTACCTACCTACCTACCTACCATTGCCGCAGGTAGTGTATGAAGCCATTGACAGGGCGGGAAACGTGGCTCGAACTGAACGGCGTGTGTTGGTACGCGACAACTGTATGCTGCAGAGGGAGCGCCGGTAGGCTTTTTGCATTTTGTTGTATAGCTTGAAGAACTGTTGTTGGGTGTGCAATTGGTTAATATGGCCACAGTGGCGTCGCGGAGTAGCATCAGGTTTGGCTTTAGTTGCTGCTGCTGTCGGACCAAAGTATCTTCTTTGCCGGCATCATTGAAGGACAGTCATTTTGCCAGGTTGATTCCCCGCCCCTACGAGCCTTTACCTGATTGACGGGAACTAGATGTTGGTGGATTTATGGATTATTGCGTAACGAGAGTTGCATAAAGTTACCTGGCCTGCGACTCACCGCGCAGGTGCCCCAACACTCTGAGGTGCTCCGTGTTTGGTTCGTGCAACCTTAACTCGCAGCTGGAAAGCATGTCCACGACCACATCGACTGAATCTTCACCACAGGCAAGCAAGACCGGGGCCGACCACATGTTGCGCGCCCGTACAGCTTCCCCCCTGCTTCCCGGCCACGTCCAACCGTAGCTCGCCAGCGGATACGCTTGGGCCTTTTTCAAACCAATGATGCTTTAGTGAAGTCCAGCCCGAAGGTGCTTCAATCAAGTCTTGCCCCTTCAGCAGGCCGCACGTTGGTGCCTCAATCACCGAACAAAGCGTAACCTTATATGTGTAGTATGTAGAAGGTGTCCTAGTAAATGCAAGGCCAAGTTGTAGTCCCCGCCTTACTCCCTCACTGGCTTACTGGTTTACTCCCCTTTACTGCTTTCCCTTCTCGCGGTCCGCTCGGCTCTCTCTCTCTCTCTCTCTCTCTCTGCATCATCCACAGGGTTTCCAAGTTCCGGTCGACAACATTCCGCCCACAATCCAGATCCGGGGGACCGGGCAGCTGTATGTCACACCAGCCGGGGCGCGGGGCATGATCAACGTTGTCCTGGCGGGCTCGGCTTACGTGGATGCCGGCGCGACAGCAGCGGATGTTGTTCCGGTGGCGGCTTCCAGAAGCGGCAGTGGCACCACGACGGGATCAACCACGAAAACTGTCAACCTCACGAGTACCATCCTCACACGTGTTTTCAGCCCCAGTGGCTTGCAGGTCGGCACCGTGTCGACGGATGAGCCCACTGGCGATGAGGCCGCGGGTGGTGTGCCGTACCTTATTACGTACGATGTCGTTGATGACGCCGGCAACCGCGCAAGCACGGTGTATCGCCGTGTGTATGTTGTGTGTCCGGCGCCTGAGTACGAATGTCCGCGTGAAGACGAAGACAGCCCGCGTGCCTGCAGCAAAGGCGGCATGTGTGGCGTTACTGGTCTGGTCTCCAATCAGGCAGCTTCCACCACTATTGCAACAGCAGGGAGCCTCAGTGGAAGCATTGTAACCGCCAGCAGCGGCAGTACTAGCAGCGGCAGTACTAGCAGCGGCAGTGCCTCCGCCAGCAGCAGCAGCAGCCCTGGCGGAAGCAGCGGCAGCACATACCAGGCAACGAGGGTCCCTCGCCTGGTTCTGAACGGAGAGTCGGTCATCACTATCACAGCTGGAACATCGTACCTGCCATGCCGAGGCGCAACGGCGACCGATTGTGAGCCCGGCAGTACGGCAACCCTGGACACATTCGGGGATCTGAACCACCAAGTGAGTGATGACCGCTTTTTCATTATTGCTGAGGGGTCCGGTATATTTGCACCCGGCAAAGGGCGTCTTGTGTTAGAAGCGGAGGCGTAGGCAAGGGCGTCAGTCGTGTGGTGTCAGATGCAACACCAAACGTTGAAGCGTCACGCTAGTGGAAGGATGATATTGGGATGAATTGCTCCAGTATAACGTTCATACGCTCTAGAATGTTGCAGAGACACACAAGCGTAGTTTTACAGAGTTACAGAGTTACTAACTTACAAGGTTAAACCCCTATGTCCCTAAATCTTACCTAACGCTTGCTTGGCTTCTACACGATATGCCTCCCAGGTGCGGGCGTGTGCTACGGGTGTTCCAAATCCTCTGCCGTACAACTTCATTGGGCTGAAATATTGTAATTTAGATACCCGCACCCCGGGAATCTACAAAATCTCCTTCCATCTTGTTTGGCCCGATGTGCCGGAGATGGTCATCTACAGGTAAAGCCCTGTTAGCATGAATGATTAAATCCATGTGTACGGAGGGCATACCGTTAGAGGAAGTAAATAACGGTAAGGGAAGCAAACGCTATCTGGCACGGCGCACGAGACGTCTTCTTTGGCCATGCTCACTTCCAGCTTACACTCGAAAGCACGTGTGCGCGTAAACCCCTCGCGGGAGCAGGGGGGGTCGTCGTAACGGTTCCGTAAGCGGTCCCCATTTTCACATAACGCAGTTTGAAAACACACCCTCTACCAACACCACCACGTAATCCACCTAACCTCACACGACCAGCCTTGGCCAAGGAGGTGGAAGGTGAAGGATTATCAGCCCAACTTCAATAATAATCGGTTTGAATATAAAATTGACACCCCGGAAAATGAAAAACACGCTGAGGTTGGTCTTGCCTTATACGACCGCACTTGGGATAGATGCAAGCACGTCAAGCGTATTATTGGGAGAGGGGAATCCGGGGCGCTTGTCACGAGGATATACAAAGGTGATACAAGCGTTCTCAAAGATGATTCCGTCCGTTAATATACGAATCGAGACGAAGCCCTTGCTGCATCCCCCCATCTCCAAATCCCCCTTCCGAATTATTGTGATTATTATTTTTGCGCGCAGGACCGTGGTGGTGCAGGATCTGTGCGAGGGCGAGCGCGCCTGCAGTGATGGCAAGTGCTCTGTGGACGGCGTGTGCTCAAATGAGCTTAAGATTGAGGTACAGGCAGCCGCTAGTTGGCAGCCGGCGGGCAAGACCACAAGTAGTGCCACCAGTACCGCCCCTGCTATTACGGCAATCACCAATACGCCACCTCGCATCACACTATCCACGAGCGAGATAATTGGGCAACAGGTATGGAAGCATACCTATGATGAGTGATTATATGTGTAACCGGTAGGTCTGAGATGTTGCACAGTAGCTGTGTTTGTTAGATACTTGGTGCGAAAAGTGCGCAACGAGCAAGTACAGCGCTGCATTTCTAGACGCACGTTGTATTTGGGATACATAGCTATGTATGCACGTATAATGTTCCTCGTTAGGTTAGGCAAGAGGAGGAGCTGAGTCCTGCGCCCACGGGGGGTCACGCAGCTAAAAACACCTCAACTTGCACCAAGATAGGTGTGTCTATCGAAGGCACCTTCGAAGGCCCGCCGCGGCGCTGGTGGCAATAATACGTTTCTCATCAGGCGTGGAAGACGACATTCCTTGCTGCGTTGCCACTGTCACCATGATATCCGTTCACCGGCGCAGGTTTCCATCTTCAGTGGTGTAGCGTACAGTCTTTGTACGGCAGGCCAGAGGCCTACACAGGCCCTACCATGTGAGCCGCTGGGTATCGCCGAAGATGTCGAGGACGGCAACCTTACTGCCCTGGTAAGTAGTGGGCGGGAAAACCTTTGGACACTTCGGACAGGCTCACGACATGTAGGATATATTTATAATCACGCTGCGCTAATGTATGGCCAACCGGGGATGCACGCTCCTCTATCAGTTAACCTGATTGTGTGAGCGCACGTCAGCAGCTTCAGCAGCAGGCAAAGTTACGAAGCAGGTTTTTAAGGCCGTGGGACCGCGGAAGCTCGAGCTATTCGTACGCTGGCTTCAAACACATTCTCCTTTCACCCGTTGCTTGGTACGTGGTGCTAAGCTGCCAGCCAAATCACGCTTGGCGGCGTCAGGGTGACGTACACCTATCGCCATGGCGGCCATGTATGATGTTACAGGGTGGTATAGCTTCACCAGCGGCCCCTTTCCCGGGGCAGTTCCCTGCTCTCCCGTGCTAGAGGGGCACCCTAATCCATTTACCCCATCCGACTTCAGAATGTATTCGTTGGGTTCAGCAACTCACCATGTATGTATGCCTACCCGTTCCTCCACCGAAACGCCGTCGCCGGCCTCAACACGCCATGTCATACAGTTATAACGCTCAACGAAACCTCCTTCCTTTCGTACGAACTGCCACCTGGCCAAGAAGAAGCGAGTATCTTCTGATGGGAGGGCATGTATGCAGTAGTCGCTCGGCGGCTGCGATGGTCAGATAGCACGCATGGATCTGCGTTACTTGCGTACGCTACACTTATCGTTGAATGTCGTACATACAGGCAAACTGCGACAGCACCTTCCTTAGGTTCACTGTGGCTGTAATTGACGCCCTGCCTATGCAGATCACACTTTGCCCTCCAGGCGATTGTGCAAGGAGCCAATGTCGGGCCCATGTGGCAGGTCGGAAGCAACTGATAGACTGCGGGGTGGATACCGCAACCGCACCCGTCGGCTCGGTCTTTCGGTTACAGCTGGCCATATACGATAGCACAGGTGCGAATGCCACAGCCGAGCGCCTCATCATCGTCATTAGCCCCTGCCCCGCGGACCAGTTCACCTGCGACGATTCGATGGCGGCTTCGGACAGCTCCGTGCCGGCTGGGGTGGTCTGCAGCCCAGTGCCATGCGCCTTACGACAAGGCTTGCAGGGCCTTGATGCGAACGCCGGGGCACGACCCCGTCTGTTTCTGCTGCCCAGCCTCCAAATCGATCATCTTAGCAAGGTGCGATACTGCGGCATGCATGCTCAAGGCGGGCGGGTACCTACCTACGGACGTTACCATTCGTTACGCTGGCGTTCCAACCTGGGGTGTATGGAGGGAAGCTGACGGTGCGCATTTATTATCCTAAACTCCTCAAACCCAAGAATTTACCGTTATCCATCCGGGGTGATCATGCATGGGTCTTTCCTTGACAACGTTGCACCTTACCTTTGAACGCTAAGCAAGGTGACGCGCCAAGGTTACCCGGCGGTCAAACCAGACCAGGGACACATGGTACGGTTAACCATAAGAATGCTTTGCTTTGGATCGCAGCTACAACACCCTGATTCAACGAGCCTGTTTGCAGCTAGCTGATGGACAAGGTGAATAGTAGATTTGTTATGCTTACATGTGCTGCTGGGCGAACCCCCGCTCTCCACCTTACTTGTGCACGCAGGCGGAGCTGAATCAGTCGCTAGTCCTGACGTATCGCCAACCAGCTCCCTTCAGTTTGGCGCCATGCGCCGCTTTCACAGATGCGGTACCGGCGACACCCACACAGCAGACGGCAGCTGGGCTCTGCGGGGCCGTTGCAAACAGTAGCACAGGCGATGACCTCACGCCCTACATCACCACGGCAGTCAAGGCCCTATGTCCCAGCGGCGGCTCCAGCAGCTGCTACGGGTGTTCGGTTACCGGCCTCTCCATGGGCACCTGTCTGCCTGGGAGGTACCGCATCGTGTATTCGGTGAAGGATGGTGATGCTGTGTCGGGGCTACAAAAAGCCGCTCGTCTAGACGTCAGTGTAGAGCAGGTATGCTTGGGTGCTAGAGGTTGATCGTACATCGGGCGTCGACGCACCTGTCCGTGCATGATGCTGTTACTGCAGTTTAACTAGTACAGGGAGTGGTCCTCCACAACATCTTGCCTGTCCGCAGCTGCCCTTCCAGCTGGCTTGAGTTCACCTGCATGTATTGGCGCACCAGGTCTCCTGCATATGTCTGTGGACTGCTCCTGCCGGCCCACAGCGGTCAGCGCATTTCACATGCTCCGTCAGGTCAAGCTTACAAAACTCTCGCACCTTTTTGCTAATTGTGATCTCCTCTCCGCAGCTAAAGGCGCAGACGTTTACCTTTTCTATGTACTACAACGGTACGGCGGCCAGATCCCCTGATCGTATGGCTGCTGAGGCGTTTGCAGCCACGCTGCGAAGCGCAAATGTCTCTACGAAGGTCGAGATGTTATCTATCGCGCTAAAGGTATCGCCGGAAAAAAATCCTTAAACTCCCTAGCTGCCTAGCTAGGGAAGGGTAGCTGGCCTACATGCAACGGCACGCTGGCATAGTACCAGCGTACGGTTGCATCCTTCGTACTTACCTTCCGCCCGCCGCCGACACCAGGCTAGCTAAGCCGCCACCGCGCGTCCTCTTTGCTTGCTGGAAGTATATGACTACCTATATCGGTGGTGCACTCAAGTACTATCAACCGCAGATCACGTGTATGTACAGATTTGGTTATATTCATGCCGGTAATGAATTTGGTCATAACATACAAGGACATGCTGTCGAGGTGGAAGGGAAAAAAACAGCTCATCGCGCCATCGCGCCAGTTCATCGGTTGAGATTGTTTTATCCTTGGCACGCTTTGCTGTACCTTCGTACTACTCCGTACTCCCTTTTTGTATGCCATTCAGGCCTTGGGAGTGGCTACGGGCAGCGTGCGCCGCCTGGACCTCCTGGCTGAGCCTGGAGTCCAACCATGCAATGTCTCGGTGGTGTCGTACTGTGTTGCGGTGAGGGAGACCGTTTCCATGCATGAAGCGTGCTAAGGGATGGTCAAGTTCGGGTAATTTGGCACAGCCGGTCGGGTTAAGGCGGTTCACAGCGTGGCATACAGCGTTACGTATTGAGCGGGCTACGTATGTCTTGCACCTGCTCTGCAATGAACTCATCTGATACCAAACTCACGTAACTCAGCGCATTAAGCCCAGCGCACGCAATTGCCTGCTGAACAGGTTGCTATTAACGTGACGACGGGTTCTGCCGACTTTTGGGACACTTCAGACATGTTCTTTGGCGCACTGTATTCGGACGCTACAGCGAGTGAGGATGGAACTGTAAGCGACATGCGTCGTCGTCGACAAAACTTGGAACTCGTGGTTCGTCACGATGAAGGCGACGACTCTTCTGCCCTGGTAGATGCCCAAGAGCGCTACATGCATGTAGTACATACCCCCGCCGACGGTAACGCCGATTCATTCTTCGGACACACAAAGTCGATTTGGGACAAATATGAACCGTTGAAAGCTAACCATGCCATGCCAGCGTCACGAGAAGGATTTGACGCTATATCCAATTTTATTGATGGAGTCAATGCTGATGACATTTTGACCAAGGCAAAGCGCTTCACCGCCACGTCCAGTGTGCTCTCTTCACCTTCCAGCGCTCCTGCGCGCTTGCATCGACGCTTGCAAGCTGAATCCTCAACCATGGAGTGTGTTAACGTGACACTCACTGAATTGACAGCAATCTTGGCATCCGCGGACAGCGCCGTAGCCTCTTTGGAGCCATACAGTACGACATGCACAGAGAAACGACCTGAAGGGGCCAGCATGGCTCAGAGCCTGATCTCGGGTGCTGTAGACGGAGTTGGCGGCGCTTCTCAAACAATTCTTTCCAACCAGGTGAATCCTTCGTGCCGTGAATGTGATATTGTGCGTGCGCGGTTTTCCACTGCGAAGCATATGCATTGTTCCCGCTGTATGGTCCGGTCTAGGGTCCATCCCAGCGTGTGACACTTCGGGACTGCCTGACAGTGCTAATGTGTAAACACCCTAGTCTGCTACATACTCAGCCGGACTGGCATTCTCGCTTGTGTGTGTGTGTGTGTGTGTGTGTGTTACACCTCGGTTGCGTTACCCAGAGAGGTGTAACGAGCCCATACGAGCCAGGTAGAGGCCCAAGAGCCTAAGAGCCACAACTCTGGTACAAGGCATCATATAACGCAAAATGTTCTAGTACTCAAGCAATATACACACGGTAGCCAAGGAAATTAGTCAACTATGCCCGCCTGCGTAGACACGAGCGCGTAAGCCAAATGCTATGTACCAGGTGGGCTAGGTTTGTTCGCTCGCTGGCGATGTGTCCACATCCCTCACGCCATGACGGCCCCGTCCACGTGTGGCAGGCGGCGCTGCCGTGGCTCATTGCCCGTGTGGAGGACAAACTGTCGGAGACAGACGAGGTGAGGTCGCAGCAAATGGATAAGTTTATCCATCGAAACCGTCAGGGACTGCGCACACGCTCATCAGGGAACATGCGAGTTTCTTGAATGCCTGGCAGGGGCGGGTTGCAGATCACGCGGGGTGTTGCAGCAAGCTGCTTTCGGGGTCGGCATGCAGTCATGGTGACTGACGGAGTGACGGTAGCGACCAAAAGGGGCCATTAGCCGGTCTCTAGTGCAGCCTGCCCTCGTTTTATACACCTAGTGTTATGTAACAATTCTGCCAACACGCTGTTGTAGTAGCTGTCGTATAATACGGCACACACGTCGTCTATGATTACGAGCAAAGGCGCTCTGCCAGCATCTTAATCTTTTCAGCGGCCTATTCGCTTCGGGATCCACTTTGCCCCGATTGATTGGAGTCCAATCCGCTCCATCAAATCAACCACGGATCTGCTCGAATCGCTTACATGTGAACACGTCCGGGCACTGCATCTGAACGGGCTCACTCCCCATGTCACACTTCCCTTTACACATCATCAACCGCATCATCAACCGAGCCCTGCCTCGTATGATGTGTGAAACAGGGGGGTGTATCTTCGCCCGTGGCAGCTACCCTGCGAAACCCTGCCTTCCCCGGTATTTCGGGGCACCCTCATCCAGTCACCCTAGTCAAACCCTCGTATGTATTCATGCATGCATGTTTGTTTGCAAGCCCCATCCGTACGTTCCTACACATATATGTAGCTAGCTAGGTAAAGGCTTCTAAGCACCTGGGAGTTCACGCCACCATCTGGGCTGCATCTGTACAGCCCTTACAGACCTCACATGGCATTGCAGATTTCATGACATGACCTGCAGGCATCCTGCAGTTGCAAAACCACGCATTCACCTTTTTCAGTTCCATCGTAAGTCCGCACCGAACAGTGAATCCGCTTGGGTTCACTTTCTAGTCGCATATCCTGAGGCAGGTATGGGGTCCAGCGCTCTGTTTTTCCTGCCCCTGTATTGGGGCGGTCCTTTGCTGACTTCCAAGCCACCCGCCGGTCGCTCACTACCGCCACCCGACCCATCCGTACGCAATCACAAGGGCTACCGTCGAGCTTCAACTGGCAGCATGCAAGCAGCCGCTACGGCCCTGGCATCAGAAACTCAGCAAGCACAAGAGCTGCTTGCGAAGATGACGGGAAAAGAGGCAGAGCGTGGCAGAGCGGGCACGCTGGGGCTTACGGCCAGCTTGCTTCAGGTGAGATCATGCACAGCTAACTACCCGTTGGTCCCAAGTTCTTACGTGTCGCTAGGATAAGCTAGGATACGTGCACATTGCTACGCTTTACTTGATTGTTTGTATAGCTTGATGTGCATCCTGGAAATTGGTGACCTGGATTTCAGACTACTAGCAGTCAAAGGAAACAGCCAGATATGCATAATAGCGTGCATTTGCGTGCACTTGCTTGTCTGTGGTCCTTCGACCCTGCCGCTGCAAGCAAGCCTAGTGGCCTGCTGCTGTCCTGTCCTCAGCTTCACCATTCCGTCCCAGCAGTATAATATCACGACTTTTCAGGAAAGAACAAAACGGCGGATGCAGATCCCGTGATATGCCCAGGATATTACACCCAGCGGGATGATGGTGATACTGACGTGGATGTCCCATTGAATCTCCGCAGATTGCTGTGAACGAGGCCGAGTCCGCAGCCTTACTTGCCAACATCACCGCTGTGCTTCTACCTGAGGCTTCAGCGGTAGCCTTGGATGCGGACCTCATGAATGCCTACCTCGACCCCGCTTACATCGCATGTGTGTCCTCCAAGGTTTCTGTTGCTTCCTTTGCGTTCCACGTCAGCAGATACACCACCGCCGCACCACCCGACCCGCAGCCCCCTGCTCAAGCTGCCAGCCCCAGTCACCGTCGTCGTCTTTTCCGTAGCCCAGATGAGGATGGGTGGGCGAGGTGGCCATCACCTGGCTCTGGCCAAATCGCCACCACGGCGCGCCTGCCATGGCTATCCCAAGCTTACTCACGGATGTCATCCTTGGTGTGCGCAAGTCCCCAGGGTTATCATGGTCACTTACTCACCTCCGTACAGGGGGTTTTCTGCGACACGAGAGGAGGTAATCGCCCAAACGCCGATACCACAGAGGGTGCCAGCACAGGACAGCGTGGCCGCATGTATGGCAGCAGGCGGCGGTCAACGAGGGGCACCAGCAACTCCAATAGCGGCAGGTCACAGTTCACCGGGTACACCCTGCCAGATGGCTCACAATACAATTACAGTCTCTTGGATGACAGCGACCTTCGGCGGCGCCGCGCTGGGGGTCGGAACGACGTGATGTTGGGGTTACTGCTTCACCAGGTGGGTACAGACAGGCATACAACAGAGGTATTCAAAAAGAGCAGGCAGGGCCAAGTTTAGCTCTTGTGAACGGCCATTATTCCCAGCGGAGGGGGCCCCGGCTGTCCATGGAAGGCAGCCGCTTACATACTCAAATTTGCTGCTCCTTCCACAAGTTTGCGGCCTCTCTTCCTGTGCAGGAGAGGCGAACTGTGGATGGCCTGGCCGACTCAAACCGGCGCGTTTGCAAACAAAGCAGTTATTCATACTTTTATGGCGGTTGCGATGCCCGCACCTTCAAAGTCGTGCTGTCTGGTAACTTGGGTGGCATCGGCAACGACCCGGTGTTTAGCCGGGTGTCTTCCTTGTACGACGCCACATTGCGGTCGTCAGATTGGTACAACATGACGGAGGTGTGTGGAAGGGAACTCATGCAAATAAGAAGCACCTCTGTGCCGGTGCTTGATCCGAAACTACTTATCCATGGGATATTGACCATCTTGCGCCCTCCTGCTGGAGACCCAACACATTTCTGTCTTCCAAGTTGCTCTCATCATGTGCATGTGTGTATCGTCCCCACGCAGGGTTCCCCCGAAATCAACCCCTTGGGGCTGCCGTACGGATTCTTCCATGAGCCCCTGGAGAGCTTCTCCCCTGGCTACCCTCTGCTGCTAGACACGCGTCTGTCCGCCAAGAGAGCTGGACAGGCGCTCACCTACCTACGGGACGGGGGCTATCTGTCAGCCACACTGACAAAGTGCGTATACCTTTCCCTTAAGTGCACATGTAGAGCTGTGTGCCTCGTGTACAAATGGGCGAGAAGTCTCTGTCACCACATTGCGATGATTCTGCGTATACAATTTATTGAACAACCGCCAGTACGCTGTAGTAGCTGGCCGCTGAAGAGGCCTCTCAAGATGCTGGCAGAGTGCCTTAGCGCGTATTATTAGACGATGTGTGTGTCGTACTAAACGACAGCTACTATGTACGCAAGCAAGCAGGCGCACAGTTCAAACTGTATGCCCCAGCTGGGGCCCAGCAGCCAGCTGGCATTGTACATTTACATACATACATACATACATACATACAGTCCGGGAGTACAAATGCAAGTTCACAACCTCAGTAGTTTGCTCCAGGTGAGAGACCAAGACGGCAGGGAGCTCATAATACTTGCATGTTGGGTTTACCTGGCTGTCAGGTAGTGATTGGTCTGGATGAGCTCATGGAATCAGAAGCCCCAAGCAAGGCACTTTAGCCACCCGCTGCTGCTGCTGCTGTCTGTTGGCACAAGCTATAGTCTAGACGGCCTCTCAAGAAAGACAGAAGAGGAGATAAGAGTTCTGACTTGCGTTACACATCATCGCCGCAATAACAAGGTGTCTCTATGACTCCTGTGATCGGTGTAAGGATGACCTGTTATGTCTACTGTCCATGTACATGCCGTGCATCTATTTGCGCCTACATGCAGGTCCCTGCGTGCCGAGTTGGTAACCTACAATCCCGATGCTGCCGTGTTTGGCTACTGGCGAGTGGACTTCACCTGGCTGGACAGCGGCGACATTCGCGCCACCAGCTACCTGCTCGGACTGCCTGCGGTCAGCTACGGAGAGTACATCAAGAACCTGCAGGTGGGAACCAGCAGTAGAAGCAGTGAAGTAGATGGCGGAACAGGTTCGCTCATCCAGACCCATCACGGATCCATGCACATCCAACCATCCATATGTATAGGTCAGGCACTACTGGTGCACACACCGATGCCCCCGGAGGTTCGGGGATTGAGAACTGTCAGGGTCGATGGACGGTGGGGACCTGGGATAAAGTAGACCCGCGACCTGACCAGGAAAGGAGTAGAGCCGCCATTGATCCGGCAGATTCCATTGGATGTCGGTGGCTAGGGTGAGAAGTCGGCTAGGGTGATTGGATGAGGGTGCCCCCAAATACCGGGGACGGCAGGGTGAAGATATGCCTAACCACGCTGCTGTATTCCCCATTTCTTGTTGCGGCACAGGTGGCTCGTTTCCTGCCCGATTTCTTCTTGGTGCTGCTCGTGCTGGCATACTGTTGCATGACGGTATACGACGTGGTCATGCAGCTTCGGGCGCAGCGGGAGCAGCGCAATCAGCTAAGAGGTGGGGGGCCGCAGCGGCCTTGGAGGGCGGCGGCAAGCGCCTCTGCCTCTTCCTTCCGGCGTAGCTTCACGCAGCTGGGGAAGGTGGCACCGTGCGACCGGACCATACCTGACGGCGATGACAACTTCGAGGAAATTGATGGTGCGCGTTTATGCATGCACTCTAGCATGCTGTGTGTCATGCATCAGCTAGGAATGGTCATGGAAATGCAGCGCTACTGATGTGTCAACGTACGACAGCAACGCAGGTGATCCATTGCTTATTACTACTTCCACACTACGCAAGCGGGCTGGCTATACATGGCTATGGTTCGCCCTAATTGTTTCGCTGTGCTGAGCGCTGGCGAAAGCAGCTTGACGTCAGTGCTGTAGGATCCATCTTTACATATTGTATTCCTGTACCATAATTCTGTTTACATTCGTTTTGCCGTCCTTTGTTACACCGGGTACTTTCGTTTGCCACGTCAAGGACCGAAACCCCTAAATTCACGAACGACACGTAGATACCCCGGAGGAGATGCGCCACGTGGAATAAGACATGGCCCTGAATAGCCCTGAAAAAACCCGATACTAAATCTCTTGTCGTGCAAAAACAGCCCCTGCTGCAAGCATCGCACATCAACACCTCTGCATAATCTAAAATAACACCGCTGCAAGCGTGTAGATATGGTCGATGGTGTTTGTAGGTATAAGCAGCACCAGAGAACCCTGACCATGCAATCTGCAGGCGCTTCTGGACCTCGGGTTCGCGGTCACGTCGGCAGCAACCGGAAGTATACCCCCCGAATGAGCGCCGGTTGGGTGATGTACGAGACAGCCATCTGTGCCCTCATGGTCGCGGCCATTGCTGTCCTCTACACCTACACTGTACGGCTATCCGTACGTGAAGACTTCATCGCGCGCTTTGATGTGTACGACGCGGACGCCTTTGCGCCGGCGAGGTACTTCCTGCTTCGTCGCAGTACAAGTTTAAATTCCAGCGAGGGAGCCAGCTCCGCGGCCACGAACACAACGAGGACGGCCGGCAGCCCTGATCGGTGGCGCATGCAGGCGGATCCGCGGGCGCTGAATGCCGCAGGTGCCGTCCTCACACGGCTGGACTCGATGTACAACACCATTGTCCTGTACGCCTTTTTCCAGGTAAGCTGGGTCCAGGATCTCGCTGGGTCCAGGATTAAATCCATTGCTGTGTTCCGTTACATGCCATAAATGTCGTCATGGAGCAATATCTGAAAACCTGGAACACAATGGAAATGTCAAAGCGGAAAGTGTACATCATTGGAAACAACGAGACGCCCCCGAGTCACGCGGTAATTATTCCGCCCAGCCCCCCACCTAGCCAAGCAAGCAACTGCTCCCCCCCTACAACGCATCCTACCTTACGGTTGCAACGCGCGTGTTGCACAGGGCCTGGTCCTTTGTGCCTTGGAGGTGCGCTGGCTGCACTACATCTCGTTCCAGCCCCACCTGTCCATCGTCTTTGGCACGTTGGTCCTTGCGCTCCCCGACCTGCTACACTTCGCTGTGGTGCTGGTCATCTCCATCGTCATGTTCGCCGCCACCGCCTGCGTCGTTCTTGGTCCGTCCGTGGCGCAGTTTCACAACTTGAGCTCCTCTTTGACAATTATGTTCCAGTACTCACTGCTGCGGAATGACGGAGGCACCTTCAAGGTGAGTGTGTTTGGCGTTGAAGTATACATAGAGCAGTGTTTTTTTGGTAATATATAGTAGTATCATGTATCGACCATCCATTTCTGCCATGTACCATTTTTTGCTTAATACACGTGTACATGTATGTGCATGCCAGCGAGGCGACTGGCTAGCTAGGCAGCAGGTACGCATTCGTGGCGACACAGCTGGATACATGAACGGCATGTACGGGTCTCACAACTACCGCGTGTATGTTTGCTGAAACCTCTATGTTTGCTTACGTGTGACCCTTCCGGTGTGTAATCCTGCATATCACGTCACAACGTATCATGCATGCATGCATGCATGCATGTTGCCTCGCTCCCTGCCTACGTACCCGCCTGCGATCACATGCTTACAGAAAGTTCTGAGTTCCCCCCTGGAGCGGCCAGCTCTCGAGCATATGCTGGTGGGAGTGCTGTACTTCGTGGCGCCGCTCTTCTTCGTGTTCACCATGCTCCAGTTTATCCTGAGCTTCCTGGTGTTGCCTTTTCAAGAGCTTAAGCGCGCTGTTGACGGCCTCCCTGGGGTTCCACAGGTACAAATATGTTTGGATACTTCAGTTGCTGTGCGCACCGGTCCTGTAGGTCCATGCTTCGGTATGTCAGGCTTTGGGCTGGCCCTCAAGCAAGCTTCCACATGCATGACGGATGGGATACATTGTAGTGAAGAGAACGTGTCGCCTCCTGATCCTTGAACAGGACGTACTACGCATCCTGCACTGGTATTGGGAGCGATTTATTAAAGCTGCCCCCAAGAACAAGCTGCTGCTGCACTGGCTTGAGGTAGGTGTGCATCGTCTGTGCATCGGTGTACTTGATGTACGTGTGTGAGCTACTTACTTACTACTGATTTTGTGAGCTACTTACTATGCGTATGCATAGTATAGGGCATACTTTCGTTTTTTACTGTGACACATCGCGCTGTCATTTGCTCGTTGGATGTCATAGCCAGCAGCAGCATTGCAGCCAAAATCCTCATGGTGGAGCAGGCGCGAGGCCATCTGGGAGTCCTTCAACGCGTGGCGAGCGTGTGTCCGCCAGGAAGCGCCCTCCATCCCACAGCCAGTTAACAACCCACATAATGATGTATGTGCTCATACGAAATTCACAATCTACATCCGAGTACTATTGCTCATGCGATCAAGGAAATCAGCACTGGTCCAAAACCTCCACAAAACCGCGCACGCGTAGCGACACAAGCTGCTCAGAAATGTTTTTACCCTGGTATTTCTTAACCTCTCAGCTCACACGTGTCCCCCGGTGTACATTGATGCAGGACTCGCTCGCGAAAGGTCCTAGCAGGAGCTTCTTATACCGGATGAGAACCATGCTCTCCGCCAGGGGGGCCAGCATGATGGCACGAGTCCGCTCAGTGAGATTGGATTCTCGACGCATCAACTGGAGCATGTCAATGCAAGGAAGCATATCCGCAAATGGGCAACGCTCAGCGCCGGTAAGCGTAAGCAGCATAGCACGCGCAATACACCAGGATGCGACCTTGACGGAACTCCGTACGCTCGATACAACATATAGTGCTGACAGCTAGATAGAGCAGACTTCATGGTATCACCTTGTGTCACCAAAAGACCTGTTGCTTCATCTTACGGCATACACATCATTCAATTATGTGTATGTGTTACACCTCTGTTGCAATACCCAGAGAGGTGTAACGAGCCTAATTATGTTTTTCACAAGGATTTAGGGTTAGGATTTAGGATTAGGGTCCCCCCCTAAATGAAAAGACGTAGGGAGTAGGGGGGATCTTAAGTGACGTTGCATGCAAGCAAGGCTGAGTCCGTAATCGACTTCCTCGCTGTGTTTCTGACCCTGTCCTTGCTTTCATACCGCCACATAGATCGAGGCCATTGAAGGTAGCGACATCCTCAACAGTGCACTCAGTAAGGCCCTCCGGGCCGCATCACTTCATCGAGCTTTGACTCCATCCAGACCGCCAAGCAGCAGTAACAGCAGTAGCAGTAGCAGTAGCAGTAGCAATGGCAGCAGCAGTGATGAAGATCCACACCCGCTGCGACAGAGAAGCCCGCCAGAGGGGCCTTCAGCAGCGTTGACGGCTACCAGGACCACAGACTCAGCTGCGGGCGCCCAGAACTGCAGCAGTATCGGCGGCGGCAGCCACGGCACCGGCTTGCTGGATTTACAGCAATCATTCGGGTCAAAATTGGGCTCTCGGCCATCTAAACGGGCTCTTGTGAAGGCTGTATCCTTCAGAAGCGGCTCTCAGCAGCTTACATGGCAGGCGGCACCCCTGGCACCTGTGGCTGCCAACACCAGTGCCGTTACCGGCGACATCTGGGTGAACAGACTCGCGGCGGAGGGCGAGGCTAGGAAAGTCGTCATCATGGATCCGCCGCCCAGTGATTTGACCTCCGGAGGCAGGGCCAGGACGCTTCACCGGTTCTTTAGCACCGGTTTTGAATCTGCGGCCTTGTCACGACCAAGACCTCAAGGTGTCCCTGCAGCCGCCTTACGCAGCGATGCGATGGGCGGTGCTACAGCCAGAAGCCGTATGCGTCTCGTGCTGCTGGCTAAACGGTTATCAAACCCGCGCCAGCAGGGGGATGGCCCGGCGGCAGGGGGGTCCTCCAGCAGAGAGGCAGGGGTGACAGTGGTGGAAGACGCTGCTATCCATCTGGCAGATAAAGTGCTTGCAAACCTTGTGATGCGCTTGGGCGACGGAACTGACCTATCGGAGCTAGCCGAAGCTGCAGCTATGACTCCAGCACCGTTGTCAAGGGCGGCCAGTAACGTTGGTCGGGAGGTGTCACCATCGCCGCCACCATCCACACCCACTTCAGCAGCAGCCCAGCCTTCCATGCTGTGGCGCCGACCAAGCGCGCCTGTCCTGGCTTCTGACCTGCACGCGGACACACCGCCTGTGTCTGTCGGCAGTGGTTGTGCTAGTAGTGTCCATGAGAAGAGCAGGAACCGTGCTGGTGATGGTGGAGCTGACGGTGCCAGCGGCCCAAGCAGTCTCAACACCGCCATGGATGGGGCTAGGGAAGGGATGATAAACACGGTGTCATGGGCAGATTGCCGCCAAGCGGCACTGCAGCGTTTCATGAGCAGTGCCCAGCTGGAAGCTCCATGCGAGTCCGTGGCGGCTTGCAATGTGGTCAGCAGACGAAGTGAGCTCGGCAACAACGACATTAATGAGATGCTTCCCCCAAGCTTTATCATGACTAGCGCCATGATGCGACTGCCAACACCGCCAGCTTTACCAACCGCACATGGGGCAGCCTTGCCATTATCGCCGCCTTCCAGCAGCAGCCGCCTGGCAGCCAGGTCACCTCTCGCCACCACTCGAGGCAGCTTTCAGCGCCGCGCAAGGTGGCTCGCCAGTGACACAGACGATATTGGCTCTGAGCATGGGTCTGTGGGTCAAATGCACCAGCTGCTGCTCACACCACGGACGCAACTGTATGACACACCGCCCCCAGACATGGTCTTAGTAATGTCAGCGGAGGCAGAAATGCCACCTCAGAAGCCGACACTATCACCACTGCAGCTGCCATCTGAGCCACATCCCAGCTGGCCCGTAGAAGAGCCAACTGCTGACACATGGGCTACAAGGCCGACCAGTTCCCAGTCACCAGCACTCTCGACCCAAAGACGACGGGCTGCCTTTAAACCACCCGACCTGGGCCAGTATCGGCCAGCTGCTCGCGACAATCCACAAGAGTGGAGTTCTGCAACTCATATCAATGAACGAATTGACACAGCTGACAGAAGCAACCCCACTTCGAACAACATTCCCCGGAAATTAAGCAGCTGCCGAGGCAACAAACTCTTAGGGAATGCAGCAGCAAGTATCATTGAGGACGAGACGGCCGCGGAGGGGCCCAGTAATGTTGTGGTGGAACCAGATGGGCCCCCTGTCGGCATGGTGGTTGCTCTTCTGCCGAACACAACGATTTTATCCCACTCGGAAGCCTCTGACCCGTTGCAATCATCCACCGTGACACCAAGAGCCCCAAGTCCAGCTCCAGCTGCAGCTGTCCTTGCTGTTGATCCGGAAATCAACGGGCCTGCAGATGCCATCGACACTACTGTCACCACCCCAGAGTGTGACTCCGCACTTAGGCAAGGCAGGGAAGACCATGGCCAGTATGAAGCCACAAGCGTAAGCATGGCACCAACCCTGGCTTGGCCTTGCGCGGTTGATGGCAGTGCTAGAACCCCTCCTGGTCTGTCACCTGCACAGGCCATGGGGCAGTTGCAGGAACTACTGGTGGTGAAGCCAACTTTGCAGCTGGCTCCTGGCCATGGAGGCATTGTGTGTGATAATGGTGGTAACAGCGGCAGCGGCACTGGTATCAGTATCAACAGCGGCAGCGGCAGCAGCAGTGGTAGCGGCAGTGGTAGCGGTAGTGGTAGTGGTAGTGGTAGTGGTGGCATGAGTGGTGGTAGCCGCATCAGCGGGGGCCCGGTGGCTGAAGGGATGATGGAATCTACCCCAGGCGGGGCTGTGACTGCGGCGCGGCGCCATCTCACTGCTAGTGATGACAAAACACTCATCCCCAGTCCTAAGCCCCAGATCAGCGACATAGCATGCTGGCGGCAGCCATCATTACAAGCGGATAGCGACTCCACAGCGATCAGTCCCAACACAAATACTGGTAGCGGTGACGGTAGAATTAGTGAAGGGCCAAGTAATCCCCCAGCTGGGGGCAGCAACACAGATAAGGTTTACAGCAGCTGTAGAGATGTTCTAGACGCCTTACTCGAACTGATTAGGTACCTCAGCTGGATGCAAAGGCAGGTATCAGCGGCCACGATGGAGATCGAGGTGAGACGATTTTATAGTAGTAGGTATTACAACGAGCCCCAGACCGCAAGGGAATACCCCAGGATAGGGCCATCGGGCCACAGTGGACTGCCGTGCACTGCACGATTTTGCATTGACGGCGACCGTGTCTGCCTGGTAGGATTGGCGGCGGACCTCATCACGTTGGCAGCGGGCTATACCGGGTGTTTCGGGGCTTAAGGACTGTAGGATGGTTGCCTGCATGGTAGCGTGTGCCCCGGCTCCTGGCCGCCCAGTTAATGGGCAATGACGCCGTTCCGTTACATTTGCCGCATTACTCATTACGTTCGTCATCACACTCGTCATCACACTCGTCATCACACTCCCATCCAACTCATCAAGCGGTCACGCTTCATTTAGAAGATAGTAGGTATCCTTGCAAATCGAGGCCCAGCACCTGCGCCGCTGTTTCACTCTGTCCATCCACCGGGTTAATCGCTTGCAGGCCATGGCGACATTCCTGTCGAGGCTCATCTCCGAGGTGGAGGCATTGCCGTCATCCTCCACAAGAGACCGCAAGGCAGTCAGGGCGGCCCTCCATGCGGGCCTGCAGGCGGTGCTGGCGCAAGGCGGGGTGGGTATGCACAGTAACATCATCACACTACTCATTACGCTGATGACTGGTGCCCCAAAGTCGAATCGTTTGCAGGCGATGAGTGGATGACCCTTGACACGGACTTCCAAGGAAGCATGCATGGGAGAGCACATGTCGTTAAGCAAGCTACACCTCGCAAGGAACTCGAATCAAAGGGGGATTTTGCTGGTCCCTATCAAATCTACCAGGGCACGATCTATAGACGATCAACGTTTTGCAGACGTGAATACTGTGGCGGTGGCTAGCGAGTAATGGCCCGGGCTGTCTTGGCATCTCTCCCAAGCTTCGCACCTATCAACATGCCTAACAGTAACCGCCTTGACATCCATCAGCTATTTGTCGCTACATGTACTGCAGGAACAACGTACAGGTCTGAATGTACGGCAAGGCAATCACCGGCCCCTTGCCAATCAACTGCCATCTTCATGTCCTTCCTGCCTCGCGTATGCAAGGCTGGGAACGGTAGTACGCAATATACAAGTTTCCACCCGTTGCGATGCAGGGCCAGGAGGCTAACAGCGATGGACGCGTGCTGGCGAGCAGGAGATATTTCGGAGCACATGATCCGCAGAGAGAAACAAGCCGTTGGAAACAGGCTTCCTATGGCAACCAGCCGCCCAACTGGGACCTCCTGAGGCAAAGGGTGGCTGAAATGGGCTCGGCCGCTGATAATGGTGGCAGCGCCGTACAGCTGTCGCACATTGCCGCGTCCGCATGCGAGGTGCTGCAAAATGCCGTGACCGGACCCACGGGTTATTCAGTTGTTCCATTAGCCTATTATTCTACTCGTCGCTTGGATCGAGACACAGCCGCCCGGCAACGCCGGGGCTGGCGGCCACGGAGGCTGTCTCTATTGGCAGCTGAAAAGAGTCGGGTCAGCGGCCCAGGGGTCATCATTCCTGTGTCTTCGAAAAGGAACGACATCATGGGTGCGGAAGTAGGTTACAATAACCGAGACAGCTTGCCAGACAGCGGTCACGCGAGGATGGCTGTACGGCCGACTGCTGATCGTGGTGAAAAGATGTAACTGGACCAGGACGGTTTGAGCGAGGTCATCATCACTGCTGGGGGTGGGAAAGGACCACGTTCCCGGCCGGCAGCACTAGCTGATGACAACATCCCGGGGGGATTTCTTGTGTCTAGGTTGTCGAAGCACTGATGACTGTGTGTGATCATGAAACAGCAGCGGGTAGACCTCCAGGCCTGTAGACCTCCCGGCCTGTAGACCGCCGTGCGGCGGAAGTTGCATCCAGGCATCGGACCCGTCCAGAGGAGTATGTAGATAGCAACTATATGCTAGCCGTAGCATGGATATATAGGGATTATTGTTAAGGAAATACACAGATACAGGGATATTATTATTATTATTATTATTATTACTATTGTTATTATTATTATTATTATCTTTTTGGACAGCCCTAGACTGGCCCTTGGGCCTCGGCTTGTATGGGCTCGTTACACCAGGGAGTAACGCTACCCGAGGAGGTGTAAAACACACACACATACACACGCACATATACATTTACATTTTATACATTTAGGTCGACATTAGGCTGGCGGGCGACACTATGGCTTCGGTTGCGTATTCCTACCAAAACTTGCTTATGCATCCCAACATGTAACTTTCTGGTTGATGGAAGCAACGGCGTGCGGGCACCAAGCCGCGAGCTCGCGTCAAAGCCAGCAGGTGGTCCTTAAGGGCGCACAGCAGTGGATGCACCGTGTTACAGTCATCCCTTTCTCTGCCTCCGGCCAGTGCACGGCTGTATCTTCATACACATATGCAGCTACACATGTACCACGGGGGGCACGGTGGCTGACCCCGGCGGTGTCGTGGCAAAGCTGGAAGCGTGGGTGGCAGCGGCCGGAGACCGCCGAGTCAGCCCGATGCAGCCCTGCCGGCGTCTGACCGGCGCCCCACTGTCACTGCTGTACGGGGGCAGCAGTTACATTAACAATAGCATTCATGCATGCTGCGCCGTTTACATCATCACCATACCATGACATAACATCACAGCAAGCGAAGCACCCATTTGCCTCGTACTACTAAGTCGCTTGTGTACTGTTCAATGCATGCCTTCTTACGCAAGTAAGTAAGTGTCGGCCACCAGTCAATATGCAATACATAAGTTGAAATGTGTCTCCCGGATCCACGCACTCGATTGGGTGCGTGACCACTACTACTACGCATTACCATATGGTAATGCATTTCACAACCTTGCTTTATTTGATCGTAGTCGTCAGTTGCTGGAAGCTGTCTGGAAGCTATAGATCGGTTCGGTGCGTGCGAAAAACAACTACGGCTGGCAGAGGTTAAGGCCTGGCTTCTGCTCCCGTCGCGTCCGGGTTCAAATCCGCCTGCCGACCTCTCGGGGTGTTTGAGAGGTGATGAAATGGGAGGTGGCCCCCCATCTTGTGGACGGTGTAGGACGTGATAAAATCAACTCGCGAGCTGACCAGGAACTAAGTTGACGCGCCGTTGATCCGCTAGATTTGGTTGGATGCTGGTGGTGAGTTGCCAAACTCAAAGAGTACACTCTGAAGTCGGATGGGGTGAATGGCTTAGGGTGCCCCTCTAGCAGGGGAGAGCAGGGAATTGCCTCGGGAAGGAGGGCACTGGTGAAGCTTAACCACCCTGTAACAACATCAACTACTAATAAGCATTTGAGCCATGCGTGTATGCTCATGTATGCATCCCATGCATTTCGCATGGATACACCTCGCAGTAATACACTAAAAACGTTGACAGTAAGCACACCGACAAACGATTTTTTGCTGCCTGAATCATCAATTGCGGACTGAAACAACCGCTGTGCATTCGTCTCGTCACCATCATGTTCTAAGCATCATAAACTCCCAGGCATGCATATCGACAAAAGCGACGACCCGGGGTCATCGGATCTAATACCTGCAAAAAAATGAATTGTCATTTATTCTCGCTTGGCTGGTTGGGCACTAGCTTCCGTCGGCTCCTACATACCTAGCCAGTTGCACTTACTAAGTTTCCGAAACTTAACTTGCCGAGTCGACATGCCTGCACCCATCCACCTATCGGCCTAATCCAACCAAAGACAAGCTGCTAAAGTTGCTTGATCAAGCAACCTTGCTCATGAGCTCCAGCAGGGTTTAAACAGTGACATTTCAGGTAACTGTCGCCGAGTAATAAGGCAACACGACCTGTAACGGTTAAATCAGGTTTTAATTCTTCAGGACGTTACTCAAACCGATTTTTACTAATAAATGTACGAGTCACCGATTCTGTTACGAAGGCCAAAAATTCTACCTCGCTCCCCCGCAGCAACTCACACATGCATGCACCTCGATGAACTCCGTTTGCTTCATTACTGTCGGCCTCCATGCAAAGTAAAAAGCAAGTGATGACCAGTCAGCGATCAGCGAACAAAGAAAACCATGCAGACCATGCTATATTAATATATTATATATAATATAATATTCGTTGCTTTTCACACAGCAGCCACCGGTCGCCACCACGGCCGCACCCTTTTTTCCGGCTTTCAGCGGCGCGCCCATGCTCATGACAGGCGTGGTAATTGGTTAGATCAACTCGCTTGCTCGCACTGGCCGGAATGTCTGAATATATATCCACTGCTCGGCTATATAAATCAATTGTATTCGATAATCAGGATCGTTATAGCTTTCGTCTAGCAGTTTCTAAACCGGCTGGCAGATCAGCTGGCACTGCAGCTCTCGCCGCGGCCGTACCTACGTAGCCGGCACCCGCTGCTGTTGCACACACATACAGTCGTCAGTGCCCTGACAAGCTAGACATCCAAAACCCCAGTAACGCCGTCAGCTAGCGCTGCCGGCCGGAAACGTGGCATTTCCTCCCGCGGTTGATGCTGCCGGCAGTGATGACCCGCCCACACCGTCTTGCTGGTCCAGGCCCTTCAATTCGCTATGATTGTTGGGGACACACGGCTCCGCACTCAAGCGATCGTTGACCAGGCTGTCCTGATTTTCATAGCCTGCGCCAGCGCCAATGTAGTTACTATTGGATGCCGCCGGAGCAACGGCCCCTGGGCCACTCTTGCCCCGCTGCTTTTCAGCTGCCAGCAGCAAAGACAGCCTCCGTGGTCGCCAGCCCCGGCGTGGCCGGGCGGCTATGTCTCGATCCAAGTGGCTTGGAGTATAATAGGCTAACTGGGTAACAGAGTGACGTGCAGGTCTAGACCTTGCTATTGCACTTTCCAGTACCTCGCCCGCCGTGGATGCGGTGATGTGTGACAGCTGTATGGCACCGTCTCCACCGTCAGCCGAGCGTATTCCAGCCACCCATCGCCTCAGAAGCTCCCAATTGGGCTGCCGGTCGTAAGACGTCTGCTGGTGTCTTCTCTTGCGTTGCAGATCGCCATCACCAACACGATTGGCAGCTGCTGGTTCCTCAAGCTGTGCTTCAGACTCCGTGTCAGGTGCCCGCAAGGTCCCCGGCCACTGGTTGTCTGGTCTCTCCTGCGGCATAGAAAGCATGCACCGCGAGGGGTAGTCGGGTCAATGAAGGGAGAAGGCTGCGTGGAGGGGTTGGGTCGTTCTTCTACTCCAGGCACGGTGAATGAACCATTAGGGGTTGGGCCTGAATGCATGGATGTGTTGTATACCGCTTCTTAAATCTGGTCCCAAACTAATACATTTCTCTGTCTAGTTTTTCCTTTCTCGCTTGGCGCGGTTGCTGGACAAGTTCGCGGGAACTAACTGAATTCCAACTGCCTATTTTGCCGCCTTTCTGTCAGATCTTTATGGCTCCAACCTCTGGGTCAGACGGCGAGCGGGACGCTGTCATGGATGCCTACAAGTAAACGCCGCCTCAGGCGGAAGTCCATACTTGCAGAAGTATGGGGGGGCGTAGCACAGGTTACGACTGGGACGCTGGTCCCAGGCTCGCGGAGCCCCGTCATCGATTAGAAGCATGGATCAACGGTACGCCATTCCGGGACTGGACCGCGCCATTTCGGAACTGGCTGTACGATTCATGGGATGGCTGCATCCCCCGCTATTTAAGCGGACAAAACTCTTCCAATCGGTGTCTTCCGACGCCACCATCCAGCTGTGGTTTGGTTAGATATGGATGTTATACACGGATTGAGAGTTTGGCGTACATGGGATTATGTGATCGTGATTCTTTCGGTTCCCTTCGGTAGCTCGGGAAGCCAATCCTAATCCTTACCCTGAACCCCATTTCATTGTGAAGGCATACCGTGCAAGGCGAACATGTAACTATCTCGTGTACGTTTTTGCGGCTACAGCCACATACTCGGCGGTACATGGTTACGGCCATGGCTGCTGTGTTAATCTGGTACCCCTTCACGGCCAGACCTGTACCGTAATACTCAGAATCGGTAATCCCCTTATTATGTCGGAATTTCTATCATTATACGGCATCTCATCCGCGTGCCATGGATGGTCTGCAAACGACGATACGTATGACCTCCCGTGTTCGTCAACACCTGGTCACGATCGGGCTGGTCGCTTTTTCGTGTAATAAGTCGCCAGGTAGGCTCGTACAGTTGCCCCATGCTTGGTCTTTGCAGCTTGCATGTCCTGCTGGCAGTGATCAATGCGAGTTCCAATCCGCTTGCGGGTCTTTCTCGCGAACCTCCCCCTTCAGCGGACACTTTTTTGTCTGGTTCGCCCGGTGGTATGGGTGTGAATGTCTCTCCGTACTCTAGGGGTCGCGGATTGTATCTCGACAGGTACCGCGTGCACGCAGGTTGTTAGACTGAGATGCGGGCACATGGCGCTAAACCATCCATTTGAAACGTTTCGTGCCTCCTTGCTCCTCTGGTGAGAAATCCACCAGAACCCAGCAAATTCGCAGCAGTGGCAAGGGGGGCGGTATGGATGGAGGTGGGTCACCTGCAGGCCGCGGCCGCTAGCAGGGAGCTTAGGAGCTTCTTTGCCCCACGAAGGTAGCGTACGGGAGGGGGCGTAACGGCTCACTGCGCTGCACTTCGCGGTTGTCATGTAGTTCGCAGTCAGAAGGGTTGTGTGGTTCAGGGATGGTGATGAAGGGGTGCAATGTCGTGCAAGTGATAAAACACAAACTCATAGGGGCTTTCCGACAGAGCCAAACAGGGCCAAACATGGCCAAACAGCACGTAATAGCAGCCAATATCAGATCCATACAGGCCTTAGCAGCCTGTGATATGTGTGCCGTACTGTCTACCAGCTACTACAGTTGGTATGTTATTAACACAATATGGCTGCTGCCATGATGTAATTACCGGACGCTCTATGTCCTGTATGTAGTCTGATAGTTTTGCTAAGATTGCTTCGGCAAGGTGTATAGCCCCATGCTTAGGTGGTATCGTACGGCGCTGTAAAATAAAGTGGCTCGTAGCTTCGTGCCGAGGAGGTTATCTTGGGTTGTGCTGGCGCGATCTGCTGTTTATCCTGGCTGCGTGAATTCTGGGTGGTGGGCACGCCAACCCTATGGCATAAAACGGGGGGTAACCCCCCTTTAAGCGTAACCCAGGGTGTAGGGGTAGGGGTTACCCATGTGGCTATGTACGAAGGGAGGTGGGTAACCTAACCCCGGGGTAGGGGTAACCCCTTACCGAGGGGTAACAAAGGGGTTGGGGTACTACACGACGGATGGGTAACATACAGGGTAACCCATGTTCACATTCACCTGCGCCTGTCTCGCCTGTCTACACACGCAAACATACAGGCAGGCGGCTGGCAGAGGTTAAGGCCTGACTTCTGCTCCCGGTCGACCCAGTCGACCCGGGTTCAAATCCGCCTGCCGGCTCCTCGGGTGTTTGAGGAGTGATGAAATGGGAGGTGGCCCCCCATCTTATGGACGGTGTAGGACGTGATAATATCAACTTGCGAGCTGACCAGGAACTAAGTTGATGCGCCGTTGATCCGCTAGATTTGGTTGGATGCTGGTGGTGAGTTGCCGAACCCAACGAATACATTCTGAAGTCGGATGGGGTGACGGATTAGGGTGCCCCTCTAGCAGGGGAGAGCAGGGACTGCCCCGGGAAAGGGGGCCGCTGGCGAAGTTAACCACCCTGTAACAACATACATGTCTTCACTTGTGACTTGCAAGTCATGGATTGCCATAATATACACACACATAGACATTCGCATATACACGCGTATACGCATATATAAATGTATATATGTATATACGTAATGAGGTCAGTCAGCATAATGAGTAGTGTGATGATGTTACTGTGCATACCCACCCCGCCTTGCGCCAGCACCGCCTGCAGGCCCGCATGGAGGGCCGCCCTGACTGTCTTGCGGTCTCTTGTGGAGGATGACGGCAATGCCTCCACCTCGGAGATGAGCCTCGACAGGAATGTTGCCATGGCCTGCAAGCGATTAACCCGGTGGATGGACAGAGTGAAACAACGGTGGTCCGTCTATATCCTGCCTTATCAGGAATGGACCCACGAGCTGATGACACAGCAGGCCATCATCAGAAGTCATGATATAGTCCAGGATATTAACTGGTCTTCGGTTTATTTGTCATCTGGATTGTGGTAGGTGGATACCAATCTGCGGGTGTTAGGCCGAGGCTTCAGGCAAGTGCAGTATGGGGACAAACGATAATGTGCGGCATCCGCACACCCGTCCAGCAGCTATTGCGCTCCATCAGCTACGCATCCAAAGAAACGAACATACCGCTGCTCGACTTCACCCGTCAATCAATCATTCTAGCCGCACACTGTAACTTTTCCACATAAAGTGATTGTGTAGTAGCTGGCCGCTGATAAGCCCTCTCGAGATGCTAGTGAAGCGCTTTGCGTGTGTTTGTTGTTGATGCATGTGCCGTACTGTGTACCAGCTACTACAAATATAAAACAATGGCGTATCATAGCCACGTTCAGCTAGGACTGCTCCGTTATACCTAACGGTGAGCTTACGCCACGGAAACAAATGATCGAGTGCCTATGATCGAGTGCCTACGATCGAGTGCCTAATCGTACGATTATGCACAGTGATGGAACGAATAATCTGGGTTCAGATGGGACTCGGGCCCATGTTACAGAACAGGCCTCACCTCAACCTCCCTAGCAGCCGCTGATATCTGCCCTTGCATCCGGCCGAGGTGCCGTATCAGCTTGAGCAATGCAACCAAAACGTCTGCATAGTTGCTGCCAAGCCAAGCTTCCTTGGCGCCACCGCTGGGGCCGCCATCATCCAGCCCGCGGTCACTGCCGCTGTCAACTACTACACCACTGCCAGGCCCTTGTAACGACGACTGCTGCCAGTGGGATATGCCGGTAATTAGGGATCTAGGGCCGCGGTCTAACTCCATGCCCGTGGCGAGATGGCGCCCTTCCACAGCGCCTCCTGAGGCAGACTCCGCCGTTGCGCCGCGCAGAGGACCTTTGGTGATGCCGTTACTACCGCTTCCACTAATGCTAATGCTGCTGCTAGCACCGCTGCTGATAGCATCACCGCTACAGCTGTTGTTGCGACTACCTCTCTCGTTGATACTGGCATTGCGATCTGCATCATTTCTAGTGCCAAGACCAGCAGGGGTCAAAGGCGGATTCACCAAGACCTGTGCAGGTGACGGCCCTGTGTGGTCCCGGGGCAACGTCCCTGCCCTGCTCGGGCCTGCCGCTGCTTCATGCCGGCTATTATCATCATTGTCATGCTGTAGTAAGGAAACGGACTCTGGTTCCCGCCGTGTGGTGGGGGTGGGGGTGGGGTGGGGAGGTAGACTGTAGACGGTCTCTTCAGTCCTGTTGATGTCTTGAGCTGGCGGCACACCTGTTAACGTTGCTGGGGATGCACCGGATGCCTGGAGCTGGCCAGAGGGCTCAGAGCGCAGGATTGCTGACTCCGGCAGAGGAGCAGCCACTATACCGACAAGCGGAGCCTCGGATCCTGCTACAAAAGCTCTGGGGCCTTCCATGGCTGCCTTGTTCTCTATTACACTCGATTCTGCAGCCCTTAAAGCCGCATTGCCTCTGCAGCTGCTTGATTTCTGGCTGTTCGTTGCTCGGAAATTGACCTCGCCGCCATCACTGCCACTACATTCGTCGAGGAGGGATGCAGGTCTCTGCCCGGCTAGGTTGCCATGGCTGGCTGGAAGGCATTGCAGCATGAAGGCACCCTCTCGCTGTGGGGTTGTCGGCAAGAATGAGGGCGCTGGCAGCAGGTTGCTGACGGGGCTGGCGAGCAATGGGCCTCCGGTCAGCGGCATTGTGGACTGGCTGGGATGCAACTCAGATGTAAGCTTTGGCAGTAGCGGTGGCCTCGGAGGCACCATCTCTGATACTACCGCCTCGGACGGTCTGACGTCTGCAGCAGGTGATGCATCAAACAACGGTGTCCCTGGCATTGCAGGCAGCTGGCGCAGCTGACCCACAGACAAGTGCTCCGAGGTGATGGTGTTAATGCCCGTGTCAAGCCTCCGAGTGGTGCCGTGGATGCTAGTGAGGGGCGGCATGGTAGCCAGACGGCTATCGCTTACAAATGGTGGCCCCACCTCTTGTGGTTGTGACAGCACGGGCAGCATTGGTAGTCGCAGTGGGCCGCTGGACACGATGTTCCTTGGGGGCACTGTTTCGTTGTGCTCGCTGTCGCCACGCTGGCCTAGGCCTAGGCCTACGCTGCCTACAGATTTGGAGGTCTCTTGGCACGGAGCTTCCATCCGGACACTGCTCACTGAACACCGAGGTGCGCCATGGAGGCGTCGAGCCCATTGCTCGGCATTCATTCCTTCCGTGGCCCCAGCCAGTATCGCATCGAGATTGCCCGGGCCGCTGCCGCCATCAGCCACATCATCATAAGCGCTGCTCCTTCTCTTGCCATTAACGCTAACACCGCAACCGTTGACAGCCGCAGGCCGCGTGTTTGGTCGCAGGCTAAACGTCACGGCAGGCGCGCTTGGTTGACGCCACAGCAAGGAGGTTCGGGCTGCCCCAAACCCGGGAGTGGTCGGCGGCGGCGGCGGCGATGTCGGCCGCCCAGCTGCAGACGACTGTGTGTCCCCACTACTGGCCACCCTTTTTAAGGAAGTCCTAGCGGAGGCTGCTGCTAAAGTCGCCAGGCCGGTTCCGTTGCCAAAGCGTGCCATAAGGTTTGCAAGCACTATATTTGCCAGCTGGGTGGCATCATCTTCCACCGTCATCGCTCCTGCCTGTGGGCCTGTGGGCCCCGTTGAGGGCCCTGCCACCGGGCCGTCGCTCTGCTGGCGCAAACTGGTCAAACTCCTTAGGGACCTTCCCAGCTTAGCGTGATGCAGGCGGGTTTTGCCTGAAGCATCGCCCACCGCTGATACGAGGCCCTTATGTCTGTCATTCGCCGTAGCAGCGGCCACAGCATCGGTGTTAAGAGCGCCCGGTGAGCTTGGCTTCGGCAAAGCCGCGGCTTTTGATCCGGCACTTGAGGACCGACTGGGCTTCCTGCCAGTGCTACTGGAGGCTGCATCCCCCGGAGTCCCTGTGGTAAAGCCCCGGCTAGCCTCGGCCGCTGCGACTCTCTCCTTCCAGCTACCATCAAGATCGTCACTGTAATGGCTCCGTGTGCGTCCAGGCCCTTTATCACCGTCGTCAGTCTCGATGGCAAGGGGTGCTATCGCCGATGTATGCGCCTGGCCACTGCCCTCCCTTCGTACCACCATTGGTGGCCTCACGCCAAACTGCTGCAACTGGTGTGACCTGCCTGCATGCGGCGAAGTGAGCCTCCTAGTATACCCTATGGCACCGGCATCGGCTGCTGGCAAGCTGCTGGTGCTGCGGGGGCCGGAGCTGTTACGGAAGGACGTGTTGATGTCGGTCGCGTCTGGTGCAAGAGACCGTGTAGGGGTCCTAGACCACAGGACCGGCCTTGATAGCTTCTGCGAACCTATGTTCAGCAAATCCCTAAGGCTGTTACTACCTTTGCCAACGCAGCTTTCAGAGCCTCCTGCTGTGTCGGTGGCCCCGCTGGCAGCGGCCGCTGCCATTGCCACTAGTGAAGAGCTCTGTTGTTGTGGCGGGTGCACGTACCGACCGCTATTGCTGTTGCTGCAGTTGATCTCCCTGCTCAGATGTTGAAGAGGGACCGGAGTAATGGCTGCCCGGGATGCAGCTCGAAGTGCCTGGCCGAGTGGGCTGTTGAAGATATTGCTGTCTCCATTGGCCTTTGCCTACGGACAAGTGAAAAGGCAGGAAGCCACGATGTATAGCTAGGCGGGAGGATACAACTGACCCAGCGTTGCACAGTATATTACTAGGGTGTTTGTCTGTCTGTCTGTCTATCTATCTGTCTATCTGTCTGTCTGTATGTATGTATGTATGTTTGTATGTATGTGCGTGTCGGTGCGTGTGCATGTGTGTTACCCTCCAACGGTGTAACGGGCCACACGAGCCAGGGGCCCAAGGGCTGGCCGAAGGCTGTCCGAATCACTAGTAGTGTTCCGCATTCTGCATGTTGACCCGATGTACAGTAATTACGTGTTGCATTGAAACAACATACCTACCCGCTTTTGCGACACCTGCCTGCGGCTGCTTAGCTGTCGAAACTCCTGTAGCCGCTTACTGTATGTGCGCGAATTTCCTGATAAAGCCTTGTATTTCACTTACCCAGTGCGAAACGGCCTCCTGAGCCAACAATTCGGTTCCTTGCTGCGCCGTATTCCGCTTGAGCTTCGCAGTCAACGTCCGAGGACCGATTCCGCTGGCGTAGGAAACTTGTGACATTATGCTGGCACCGCCTGAAACCATGCTGCGAAGCTTACGCAAGAAGCTCCTGCTTGATGTTTTCGCAAGCCAAACCTGCACCAATGCGCAAAGCCTGGTATTTAGAAAGGTGAGGATTGGTAATATGTTCGCGCGTATAATGTGTTTCGGAGGGTGATAAGGATTGTCGGATGCCTCTATAGACGACATAAGTCACCAACGTTACATACTTTGGTCACAGGCATGAGAGGGAGGCGCAGGGATATACGCTATAGACCCAAATGAGCCCGCATTGGCCTTCATCTGTGAAGGCACGTACGTACTATGTACGTGTACGTGTATACGTGGTTGACCGGTCAGCCAATCTACTGGCAGGCACAAGGTTTATCACATACAAACGCAAGACGCAGCAGAGGCGGCCACATACATACATTTGGCAGGCGGTTGGCAGAGGTTAAGGCCTGACTTCGGCTCCCGGAGGTTCCGGGTTCAAAATCCGCCTGCCGACACGTCGGTGTGTGAGGGGTGACGAATGGGGAGGTGGCCCCCCATCTTGTGGACGGTGCAGGACGTGATTATAGCAATGTGACAGCTGACCAGGAACTACGTTGTGGCGCCATTGACCCGTTAGATTTGGTTGGATGCTGGTGGTGAGTTGCTGAACCCAACGAATACATTCTGAAGTCGGATGGGGTGACTGGATTAGGGTGCCCCTCCCGCAGGGGAGAGCAGGGAACTGCCTCGGGAAAGGGGGCCGCTGGTGAAGCTATGACACCCTGTAACAACATCATACAGGTATTACCTCAAGCCAGCGCAGCAACAGCTTGTTCTTGGGGGCTCCGTACACCACTCGCTGCCAATACCAGTTCAGAATGCGTGAGATGTCCTGTGTTTAAGATTCAGCACGGAAAAACAGCATCTCGCTCAGGAGTCCTCTACCAGCCTCTGCCATCTACCAACATTTGGTTCGAGGCCAGCAGATGGAATGAAGTATGCACACGAGAAAACAAGTTCCCACCGGATGTGGGCGCACGACGCGAGGAACGTCTTTAAGTTATATATACCTGTGGAACTCCAGGAAGGCCGTATACAGCGTACTTGAGCTGTCCAAATGGCCACACCAGGAAACCTAAAATTAACTGAACCAAGATAAACATGAAACAGAGCGGCGCCAGGCAGTACAGCAAGCCCACCAGCAGCTGCTCGACGGCTGTGCGCTCCACGGCGTTGCCAATTATAAGGTCCTGCATCCAGGTCGCAGCGGCAGTTAGGGCGACGATATGAGCGCGTGGGAAATCGTTGTAAGTTCGGAAGGACTGGCTGGCTTTTGTTGTGGCTGCTGAAGTAATGAAGCGAACACGGGTGAGTGGGTCAACAGAAACATGCCAGGGATGGATGAGTCTGTGTACGCAAGCACGCGGATTGCAACCATGTAACGGCTGAACATAGCGTGCGTACGACCGTGACGTGTACACATACCAGCCGATCGGCATTGAGCCGATCGGCATTGACAGAAGCCATGCGTCTCGTCGTCCACGTACCTGGCTGACATACACGTCGCATAGTGAAACATGTCCTGGGATATGTAAGTCTATACGTAGGATAATTGGTAGTGCATGATTACGTTCGCCCAGAAATGGTGAGGCTCACTCACCTTGAAGGGGCCGTTTTCGTTCCTCAGCAGTGTATACTGTAGCAGGACTGTCAAAGAGGAGCTCAAGTTGTGAAACCGCGCCACGGACGGACCAAGAACGACGCAGGCGGTGGCGGCGAACATGACGATGGAGATGACCAGCACCACAGCGAAGTGTAGCAGGTCGGGGAGCGCAAGGACCAACGTGCCAAAGACGATGGACAGGTGGGGCTGGAACGAGATGTAGTGCAGCCAGCGCACCGCCAAGGCACAAAGGACCAGGCCCTGTGCAACACGGGCGTTGCAACCGTAAGGTAGGATGCGATGTAGGGGGGGAGCAGTTGCTTGCTTGGCTAGGTGGGGGGCTGGGCGGAATAATTACCGCGTGACTCGGGGGCGTCTCGTTGTTTCCAATTATGTACACTTTCCGCTTTGACATTTCCATTGTGTTCCAGGTTTTCAGATATTGCTCCATGACGACATTTATGGCATGTAACGGAGCACAGCAATGGATTTAATCCTGGACCCAGCGAGATCCTGGACCCAGCTTACCTGGAAAAAGGCGTACAGGACAATGGTGTTGTACATCGAGTCCAGCCGTGTGAGGACGGCACCTGCGGCATTCAGCGCCCGCGGATCCGCCTGCATGCGCCACCGATCAGGGCTGCCGGCCGTCCTCGTTGTGTTCGTGGCCGCGGAGCTGGCTCCCTCGCTGGAATTTAAACTTGTACTGCGACGAAGCAGGAAGTACCTCGCCGGCGCAAAGGCGTCCGCGTCGTACACATCAAAGCGCGCGGTGAAGTCTTCACGTACGGATAGCCGTACAGTGTAGGTGTAGAGGACAGCAATGGCCGCGACCATGAGGGCGCAGATGGCTGTCTCGAACAACACCCAAGGGATACTCATCCGGGCCGTATATTTTCGGCTGCTGCCGCCTTGACCCCGAAGCCAGGGTTCTGAAGTGCCTGCAGATTGCATGGTCAGGGTTACTTGGTGCGACTCAAGGCGGCGGACGGCCCATCTAGTAGACGACGGGCTGAGGATCATATGATGGAAACGCAGCGAACACCTTTTTACTAGACTGCGGGGAGTGGGCGTCTTAATTTCCTACACTTTCGGCATGCTGTAGTAACTGTACAAAGTACGGCACAAGTATCCTCAGCAAATACATGCTAAGGTGCTCCGCCGGCGTCTTGAGAGGCCTTTTCCAGCGGCCAGCTGCTGTGCTTGCGTGGTCAAAGTAGCGCTACACAATTGCCAGCTTGGTTTTGAGAGGGCAGGCAGAGGGCTACACAGACCTCGTGAGCAGGCATGCCCGCATTGGAACTAATCTCTTGTGTGCCGAACGACGTACTTTGTGGCGCTGCACTGCCAGGAGCGCCTCAAAGCCCCATGGTCTCCGCCCCAAGGTCAAAAACCATTCGAGTCTGGAGTATCTCCGCTAAGCATAAGACAGGACAGGAGCATAAAAAAGGAAATGCACCGGTGCAATAGGTGCAGGTCTGGAAACCTAGTGAAGCTTACAACACCATACCCAGGAGGCGGAAATGATGCGAGTAACTTTGCGGAGGGGCCCTTCGAGGCATGCCCGAAGGATGGAGCGGTGGAGCTCCAGGTATCGTTCATGCGGTAATTTGTGGGGAGCTGCCAGACCAGCGCACCGCCTCCTGTTCGCTGAATTGCCACGGCTACCTCTACACTACCACGTCTTAAAGCAGATTGTGAGGTTTTGGAACCGTGTCCGTTTACAGCGTGGGTCTGTGGCACACCAAGTTTGCGAGAGGAGATCGTAGAGGCTCCCTCCAACCCCGAAGGGGCGGATGTAGTAGCTGGTATACAGTAAGGCTCACATAACAACTAGATATATGCCCAAAAGCGATTGACCAGCATCGCGGGAGGCCTTTTCAGCGGCCTGCCACTACAGCGGATGGGGGTCACTAGTCCTCCGTTTTCTGAGTTTTTCTGGGGCACGATGTATGAAAAGAGGCCCCGCAAGGGCTACGTGAGGCAGATGAACTAGTGGAATGGCTAATGAACAGGCCATTGTCGGAAGGTGTGGTATCGGAGTTCAAGGATCGGTTGATAAGCGGTTGGAAGCATATGCGTTTAGATGCCCAGCCACACGTGTACGCATCAGACGGTAAGCAACCGGGAATCCACATGGAGAAATTAGATGGGTAAGGCTGAGCAAGCAGGTAGAGGTTGTTCCCGCATATCACAACATTTATCCCGCGTTCAGCGAATTGTAAGCTTATGCAGTTTAGGCTTTGCTGTTGGGTGTTGGCGGTGAACAGAGCGCGCAAGGGGCGGCGTTATGTACCTAGGGAGGAGAGGCTATGCCCTTGCTGCGGCATTGGTAGCCATATTGAAGATGAGAAGCACATCTTGCTGGACTGTCCGGTATACGGCGAAATTAGGTCACCGAGTAACTCCCACCGCCCTGGCAGGGTAAAGGGGGGAGGGAAAGAAACAAGGGCAGGGTTTTGTGGGTGGGTCGCGAACGGATATGCCCTTTTTATACCTCTGCGCCTTCATTTAGGCTCCCACCAGTACGACGGAAAGATAAGGCCCCACCAGTCATCATGGCCAGAGAGGCGGGCGCACAGCGAGAAGGGGCTCAAGGACGAAAAGGGGGAGATGGACAGAGAGACTACGTCTGCAATATGCGTGTGGTGTGTGCGTATGTATACATGTGCTTTGTTTGCGTTCATAAGCGTGTACTTGGGTGATCTATCTTGTAAGTTCCATTACGAGTCCTGGTGGATCGGAGAACACCGAGCTTATGTGTCTCAGTCTGTGAATTTTCCACGCTTTGAGCATATGAAGGACGCTATGAACGTCTGTCGAAGATGCTGGAACGTATGTGGTCCCACCGCAACTCTATAGTTCCCTTTGGTCGTTAGTCTCCTTTAGTCTCCTTTGTTTGAAGTTCGAGATAGGACGGTGCTTATAGGCAATCTGGCAGCCCTTGAGCCCTCGGATCGTATTGGGTGGTTTGCAGGTACGGGGAACGCAACCCACGACCATGTCTCACACACACACACACATATATATATATATATACACACGCACGCAACACTATACGCACCATCTCCAAAGTTGTCATCGCCGGCTGCCATAGCGCGATTGCCCGGCGCCACCCTCCGTGGCCGCAAGAGGCGGAATCGGGTTGAGGCGCTAGAAGTGGCTACAGCTTCCCAAGGCTGCCTGGGGTAGCCATCCAGAAACAGATTGTGCTGCTTCCGCTGAGCCCGAAGCTGCTGGACTACATCATTTGCCGTCATGTAACAGTACGCCAGCACGAGCAGCACCAAGAAGAAGTCGGGCAGGAAACGAGCCACCTGTGCCGCAGCAAGGAATGAAAATAGATCTAAACTGAGCACGAAGGGGCAATTACCATGTCCCCAGGGAGCAGCGGTTTCGCCGCTGTTGTGGTACCAGCAGCCAAATCGAGGATGAAAACACGTGTTATTGGAATGCCCAGCCCATAATGATATTTGTGCGGAAGAGGGATTCGATCATCAACAGAGCGTGTTGGAGGCCATGAAATAGGAGCCAGTACGTCTGGCGAGGATGTTGGAACGTATGTGGGCTCACTGCAACTCGGTTCCATTTTGGGCGCTAGTCTGGGCTGATAGTGCGATGCTTCCTCTTCTCCGTGGCATTTAGGTGTTTAGGTATTGCCCTTGGGCCTTCGGCTCGGGTAGGTTTACAGGTATGGGGTCACGCACCCCCAACCATGTAACACATACACACAGATCTAGATAGGTACATGAGAGCAGGTCGACGTCGGCCATGCTGTGCAAGCTGTCCTACCATACTGCGCGTAGCAGAACTGTGTCAGCACCGTATGTGTCAGCAGGCCTGAGCCGGAATATGCAGGAGCCCTATGTTACGTGTGTTGCGGCTGCAATGGCATGTTGAGGCGTAGAATATCCAGGAAGATCCACAAACGACCCTGCCTGCCTATTCGCGCACACTTTTGCAAGTAGGGATACAATGCCCACGACTTTTGGCATCTCCCGCGAGTACATTTTGCCTGGTCTTACGCACTGCTTCTACTGCTGGTTCCCACCTGCAGGTTCTTGATGTACTCTCCGTAGCTGACCGCAGGCAGTCCGAGCAGGTAGCTAGTGGCGCGAATGTCGCCGCTGTCCAGCCAGGTGAAGTCCACTCGCCAGTAGCCAAACACGGCAGCGTCGGGATTGTAGGTTACCAGCTGCACACGAAGGAACCTGCATGCAGGCTCGGTGCACCCGGCAGACGTGCAGTGCACCGTCACTGCGTGGGAAGAGGTTCCTTGCTTCTAGCTTAAATCCTTATGAAAGCACAGCAGAGGGCCAATGTGTTGGAAATGACCGACACTCATATACCAGTGAATGGTAGCCACAGTAATAGGACCCAACGGGGGTCCGGCGCTTTGCTGGTCTTAACACAATGACAAATAATCACGTAGGAAAACCCTTCTCGCATCGAACTAACAATGGGATCCCGGCCTTAACAACACGTATGTGGGGAACAAGTATCACAGCAACATCATACATCCTTGGCATTTCGGAAATGTATGCGCGACCAGCTAGCCAGGAACATGCATTGTGAGTCGCGGGCCTGCTATCATTGAGGGGGTTGTTCTTTTTGTTCCTCAGACACGCCCGCGTATGGTAAATGGCGCCTTCCATGCCGCCGTCCTCCGTTCTCCCTGGATACCTGGATTCCTGGATCCCTGGATCCCTGGATCCCTGCGCACTTTGTCAGTTTGGCTGACAGATAGCCCCCGTCCCGTAGGTAGGTGAGCGCCTGTCCAGCTCTCTTGGCGGACAGACGCGTGTCTAGCAGCAGAGGGTAGCCAGGGGAGAAGCTCTCCAGGGGCTCATGGAAGAATCCGTACGGCAGCCCCAAGGGGTTGATTTCGGGGGAACCCTGCGTGGAGACGATACACACGTGCACATGATGAGAGCTGCTTGAAGACAGAAATGTGTTGGCGCAAGATGGTCGACAGGATACTGTTCAAGCACCGGTACCGAGATGCTTCTCATTTGCACGCATAAGCATCAAAAATACAATTTATCCACACAAAAAGCACTTTAGTAAAATTAAATGTTATTAATCCGTATATCCTTACCAAGGAGGCAAAGCTACAGAGATTATGTATAGTTGGTGATGGTGTGGATAAATAATAGTTTACATTATTCCGTAGACAACGACAATCTTTAATAAATATGTATTTTACTTAGCAAAGTAAGTAACCATCAGCTTGTAACCATCAGACATTATCTCGAATTGATGCTTTTATGCATTTGCAAAGTTTGCTGATATAAACTAGTCCCCGCATTGATTCTTCTTTTTTCCATTTCAAGCCATGTAAGTACAGCAAGGCATGTATGATTTTTATGCGCACGACCCGTGCTTGCCTAACAGCGCTACCGCAGGTTTGCGTCAGTTCTCGGTTCACTTCCACACACCTCCGTCGTGTTGTACCAATCTGACGACCGCAATGTGGCGTCGTACAAGGAAGACACCCGGCTGAACACCGGGTCGTTGCCGATGCCACCCAAGTTACCAGACAGCACGACTTTGAAGGTGCGGGCATCGCAACCGCCATAAAAGTATGAAAACCTGCTTTGTTTGCAAGCGCGCCGGTTTGAGGCGGCCAAGCTATCCACAGTTCGCCTCTCCTGCACAGGAAGAGAGAGCGTCAAAACTCCGCACGCCATAAACTTGTGGAACGAGCAGCAAGCGTGACGCCTTCTATGGACAGCTCCCCTCCGCTGGGAATTAATGGCCGTCCACAAGGGCTGGACTTGACCTTCCTGCTGTTTTTGAATATCTCTGTACAACTGAATGCCTGTCTGTACCCACCTGGTGAAGCAGTAACCCCAACATCACGTCGTTCCGACCCCCAGCGCGGCGCCGCCGAAGGTCGCTGTCATCCAAGAGACTGTAATTGTATTGTGAGCCATCTGGCAGGGTGTACCCGGTGAACTGTGACCTGCCGCTATTGGAGTTGCTGGTGCCCCTCGTTGACCGCCGCCTGCTGCCATACATGCGGCCACGCTGTCCTGTGCTGGCACCCTCTGTGGTATCGGCGTTTGGGCGATTACCTCCTCTCGTGTCGCAGAAAACCCCCTGTACGGAGGTGAGTAAGTGACCATGATAACCCTGGGGACTTGCGCACACCAAGGATGACATCCGTGAGTAAGCTTGGGATAGCCATGGCCGGCGCGCCGTGGTGGCGATTTGGCCAGAGCCAGGTGATGCCCACCTCGCCCACCCATCCTCATCTGGGCTACGGAAAAGACGACGACGGTGACTGGGGCTGGCAGCTTGAGCAGGGGGCTGCGGGTCGGGTGGTGCGGCGGTGGTGTATCTGCTGACGTGGAACGCAAAGGAAGCAACAGAAACCTTGGAGGACACACATGCGATGTAAGCGGGGTCGAGGTAGGCATTCATGAGGTCCGCATCCAAGGCTACCGCTGAAGCCTCAGGTAGAAGCACAGCGGTGATGTTGGCAAGTAAGGCTGCGGACTCGGCCTCGTTCACAGCGATCTGCGGAGATTCAATGTGTCATTTTGAAGCCAGTATCACCATCATCCTCGAAAGGAATTCGGTGGAGGACAGTGCAGAAGCAGGAAATCAGGTTTGCGGCAGGTTTGCAGCAGCATCGGTGTTGGCGGATTGGGGGACCACATTGAGGAGTTACGAGGTTCTACTTATTGGGCCACCGTTTAAACGTCTTCTCTGCTTGTAAAAACATCCTCTCATGTCCTTTCCAGGTCGCGATATATAGCAGCATGTACGTGTGCAACCGACTGCCTCATACATATACCGAAGTACGGCACATGTGACGTATGTCCACATATACCAGCTTGCTTGCAAGTATACCGTGGGCATAGCTAAGGGAAGGCACCAGCTAGACTGTGCGAAAGTAAAGCACATCCTCACCTGAAGCATGCTGGTTGTACCTGCCAGCCCGTCCGAACCGCTGTACTGGGCTTCGGTCTCTATCATCATCGTGAGAAGATGTTGTGCTTTATGAGTCACTGACATAAGGGCGTCAGCGGCGTCTTGCATATTGGCAGTTGAAGCCCGACGGTAGCCCTTGTGGTTATGTATGGAGGGCCGGGGGAAGCAGATTGAGGCTTGGGTATCAGGAGATGTACAGATGTAACACAGGTCAGTTAGGCGTAGGGCTAGATAGCCTAACGGTGGCCTCGGGATGTGGGAGCGGAGGATTATTGCCTACGACTTACGATTACGTACAAAGATTACGCAAGGATAAAAGAGTACATGGATTGAGCGGGCGTAGCTGTGACCCGGTTCTAAATTGTAGTATGTGGACAATGGCACCGCGACGAGCTTCCGTGCACCGCGGCCCTCACCATGCCGCGTGCCGTAACGTGGTACGACAGACCTGCGATGTGTGTCCCATTTTTTAAACTTAACTTTGACTTGCGACGTACGACACATCTCAGAATACTGTTATGTAATGTGACGCAAAAGTCACGACACCGGTTCCTTGGTGTCCGCTGCGACAGGTTAACCTTGCTGCTCACCTCGTCGGTCTGCGACAGTTCGTCCTCTACATTGGCAATTCGCGATGGCAGCACAACCTGGAAGGCAGGGGTTATATTGGATTGCTGATGAAATGCTGGCACAGGAGCTGCAATTCAGATAGGGCATGGTGCAACTGATGAATTAGCATGCCATCTGAAAATTTGTTTATCGTCTCTTGATCGTGCCCTGGTTTACTAGGTAGGGACCGTCCCTTTCAATTGTACCAGGGCGCGATCTATAGACGATTGAAATTTCACGGACGGTTGTCAGTGCATTACAGGATCGCAATATGGGCCATAATGGTTTGTTCTGGCCCTGTAGGAACCGCACTACTCGTCTAGCTGTATGTGCCCATAATCGGAAGGCATGGTATTTGGCGTCAAACTCGAAGGCTGCTGCGACTCGGGGGGATAAAAGGTACACTATGACTGCTGCCTATCGATCGGTCACTTACAACATATGCGCATGCCGCTATAGCACTTGGGACCTCGTGGCTGTGACTCGCATTATCGGAAATAATGCGTGTATGGCACACATGCATGCAAGCTCTACCTAGCGAGCAGCAGGTTCATAGCGAACGCATATATCCCGCTTGCCCTTTAGGTAAAGGTGAAGGTAAGGGCACGCTGCTTGCTGGCACTACCTGCTGCTGCAGTCCCAAATGAATAAACAGTCTATAGGAGTTGAATCTCGCCCACCCGGGCTACATCACGCTGTGCTCTCGGTGAACGCCAGCACAAGGTATCACGTGCGCATTCTAGCATTCTACACAGCACATGCGCCAGACGAATGGAATACCTACTTGGTTGTAAATAATACCCTGGGAAGCCTGGTAAAGTCCGTCAACAACACCCACGATGAGGCTTAGAGCAATGCTGGCCTCGTCAGGTCGCCTCTCTGAGCATGTCGTACTGTATGGCTCGATGGACGTTAGGACGCTATCTGCTGATGATGCCAAAACAGCTGTCAAGTCCGTTAGAGTGGCATTGCGGCATTCAGCTGTCGTTGAGGATGCTGGCAGGAGGAGTCGACGCAACTGCACAGGAGAAGAGCCCAAAAGGAAGAGCCTATCAAGAGCTGCAGCGAGGCGCTTCGCCATGGACAAAACATCTAGAGCGTCTATCTCGTGATTAGTGTGGCGCATGCTGTGGCCGAATCCGCCTCGTCGCTTGGGCCTGGCGTGGTTCGCTGCTAGAGGTCGCACATTCTCTGCTGAAGTCGACGGCGTTGTCAGGACTGAAGAGTTCGCATCATTAGCGCCAGCGGTCATAGATACTGCATGCAAGGAGCGCTCTGGCGCGTCTTCCATGGTGGAAGGCGCGTCGTCCTCATCACGGTGATGAACCATGATTTCCAAGTTTTGTCGTCGTCGCTGCGTCTCGTTGGCCGCCGCATACACCAGCGGAACAACTAATCCGTAAGCTTCCAAAACATCAGCGACGTCCAGGAAGTCGACCGAACCCGTCGTCAAGTTAGCGGCGATCTGTTTCGGCAGGTGTGCATAACATACAGGGTCGTAGGACGGCCCCACGAACGTTTGGTTGACTTATTGGAACACAGAGCGTTACTCCTTGCTTGGCGCCCGGCACAATAAAATCGAGGTGGACACGTTCAAATTGGAAGGTCAATAGTGGACAAGTCCATGCCTTAGCACGCCACGCTTCATGCATGGAAACGGTCTCCCTCACCGCAACACAGTACGACACCACCGAGACATTGCATGGTTGGACTCCAGGCTCAGCCAGGAGGTCCAGGCGGCGCACGCTGCCCGTTGCCACTCCCAAGGCCTGAATCACATGCATAAGGGCGGGGCCGAAGACAGTTTTGTTCAGCAAGGGGACTGACTGCTGGCAAATAGGCCCACTGTGCTGTATCCTGTGGGGTGTATCACCACCACAGGATCTGGCATCTGCCGATCGGTACTTTTCTGTAGTCGTGATACAACACACTGGCCTAACAAATACCACGGCGCTGCCACGTCAACCTGCCATTCTATAACGACCAGTCTCTCATTCAGATGGCCGCACATCTTCCTGCTGCTTACTTGTAGCGCCCCAGACAGCATTTCCAGCTGCATTGAGTCGTTCGCGCCCCGCAGGGTAGCGACAAACTCCTCTGCAGCTGTACGGTCAATGGATCCAGCTGCCGTACGGTTGTAATACATGGAAAAAGTAAGCGTCCGCCACACGAGCTACAACAATGGGGGGAGCCATACGCAGCAGAGTGAGGGCATGTGTGCGTACTGGGTTCTAATGACGTGGGTCCAGCAGTCCAGCCAGGTTTGAGTGATGAGCACAGGAGCTGACAACAGGCAGCCGGGGCTCCGTAGGTAGAGACGTTAGCAAGGGCTCGCGAATAGGTTGCATGCATGCAAAAGAACAGTACGGCACACATATCAACTATCATATACATGCAAATGTGCTCCACCAGCATCTCGAGAGGTCTTTTCAGCGGCCAGTTACTACAAGAACGGAACCCAGCTAGAATTGTTGACCATGGCGGACAGCATGGGAATATAACCGGCCGGCCTTTCCATGCATCCCGAACCGGAGGCAAAGCGGCTGCGTTGACAGTAATCAGCTTGGGAATCCCTTTGTGCAGGCAATCGAACGGCACTTGCGTCTTAGAGGCGGATGCATGGAACGAATGGGAGCTGGGTTACGGGATCCACCACGCAGGCTCGCTCGGTTTGGTCATTCACGCATCTTGCTAATTTGTCAGGATGCCGTCTCATCAACCTCCAGCACCCAAGCATACCTGCTCTACACTGACGTCTAGACGAGCGGCTTTTTGTAGCCCCGACACCGCATCACCATCCTTCACCGAATACACGATGCGGTACCTCCCAGGCAGACAGGTGCCCATGGAGAGGCCGGTAACCGAACACCCGTAGCAGCTGCTGGAGCCGCCGCTGGGACATAGGGCCTTAACTGCCGTGGTGATGTAGGGCGTGAGGTCATCGCCCGTGCTGCTGTTTGCAACGGCCCCGCAGAGCCCAGCTGCCGTCTGCTGTGTGGGTGTCGCCGGTACCGCATCTGTGAAAGCGGCGCATGGCGCCAAACTGAAGGGAGCTGGTTGGCGATACGTCAGGACTAGCGACTGATTCAGCTCCGCCTGCGTGCATGATTAGCGTGGAGGCAGAATCTATAATTAGACCGGCCATACCTCAGGTGCAAACAGGAATTCAAAGCAAGCAAGGTTTTACTACCATACGTACTTCGGGTTAATATAGGCTGCTGAATCAGAACGGCTCTTATGTTTGGTATCTCCTTGCATGAAACCCTCGGCCGGGCTTTGGCCATTAGACGGTCACATACGTGAAAGCATCCTGCACGTGTAGCCAGGAGTAGTATTATGCACACACGCACCTGGCTTAGGTTTGCATTGTGGCGAATGGGCAGCAGAAATAGACGGGGCGGGGACAAGGAGCTCGTCCCATCCGCAAAGCCCTGAATGACGTTTCGTAAGGCGCATGGCACTGGGCTGCAGACCACCCCAGCCGGCCTGGAGCTGTCCGAAGCCGCCATCGGATCGTCGCAGGTGAACTGGTCCGCGGGGCAAGGGCTAATGACAATGATGAGGCGCTCTGCTGTGGCATTGGCACCTGTGCTATCGTACACAACCAATTGCAGCCGGAAGACCGAGCCTACGGGCGCAGTTGTAGTGTTCACCCCGCAATCGTATGGCTGTTTTTCACCTGCCGCATGGGCCCGACATTGGCTCATCGCGCAATCGCCTGGAGGGCAAAGTGTGATCTGTGTGGGTGTGAAGGGCAGCAGCATTGAACGCAGAGAAAAGCTCGTCATATGCATGCTGGGCATGCTTTAATTGCCTTCAGCGTGATCGACACAAGATTGGGGATGTAAAACACGTGCTGTAGGTACGTCAGCAGGTTCAGCTTGTCGAGCAGCTCTCACTGCTGAGGCCGAGAGGGGGGCTATGGTTAGCTTATTAGCCAAGCTAGGCAAGCCTTAGTTGTGGGCCCTCGACCTGCGGATGAGGTGCTTTGAGTTGCAAGTGGGGTTCCATTTGCAAAACCGTAAGTATTACGAGCTCCAAGCCGTGGAGGATGAAGAGCATGTACTCTTGGAGTGCCCAGCATATATAGCACATGCAGGGGCTTTCTGTCGGGATCCAGATAGACCAGACTATGACGGACTCGGTGACAGCGGTTGACCAGGTGAAATTGGCGAACCTTATCCAACAGTGTCTGGCTAACGAGGGTCAGAAATAGCAGGCGCAACGCTATGGCATACCAGTGTGGGTAGCTCTATTCCTTTTCTTCTCTCGTGTTGACTGATAGGAGTGATAGGTTCTGGTCAGGTTACTAATAGCATAGGAGTGATAGGTTCTGGTCAGGTTACTAATAGCACCCGCAAGCAGTTATAGGTTGAGGACATGGGGTCACCGCACGCAGCCGCACGCCTAGCTAGCGCTTGGGGGGGGGTTTCCCGGGTCCAGTTCACAGAGTACAGGGTGTTCAGTGGAGCACCGAAATCGTTTGTTGCCTTGTGCGGTTCCGTCTAGACCAATAAGTGCCAGCCTTTGCCGATCAGTGTCTTTTCGCTGGAAGTGGCTGAGAACCTTCCTGGAGCCCCCACTTCGTATCGAGACCCAATTTCGTATCGTATAGTTTCGTACCGGGCAGGTGTAGTTGCAGGTAGATGGGTTACGCACCGCCGACCGCAGATGAGATGCCGCCCTACCTCGGTAGCTGTTGTTTCCTATAAAGATCATTTAACAGAATGCTTTGCGATCAGTGACAGGGACGGCTGTGGGCTTTGGGTGTAAGAACTGGCCTGCTGTGCGCACTGTAGCCTGCATGGCCTTACCTGCTGTAAACAGAATGGACCAAATCAAAGTGCGAGTTAACGGAAATGCGCGAAGGCTCCTATGCAATTTCTCGTGCCATCTTGCATTTCCGTGCCTTGCAGGTAAACTCTCTTCGTAGTAGTTGTTTTCGGCGCCTTCCGCGCCTCCCCGCTGCTTATTCAAGCAATGAGGTTTCCCACTGGTCGACAAGTTGTAACAACTAAAACGTCCCCGGTCCAAATGGGCAATTATGCACGTACGATGTCGTACGACGGTGTGAATCACAGAAATCCCACACCAAGTAATATGCAACGAGTAGACTTCAGATGGCTCCTGTCTGTTGACTCCGCCTTGACTGGTCCCCCTGTCCCGCTGTCTCCACGTACCAGAGCCGTCAGGTCTCCGTCCTCAAGGTCATCGGCGGTCCCTAGCGGCTCACATGGCCGCGCAGGTGTAGATATTTGCCCTGCCGTGCAAAGGCTGTACGGCACACCACGCGGGACGGAAACCTGCGCCGGTGCACGGCAATGAAGTGACAACATAGCAAACGGATTGCCAATGCCGAAGACAGGCGGAGCCTTCCCCCTTAGCTTGCGATACGCACAGACCCGCATCCTGATGCAGGTTGCAGGTCTTACGTGCACACGCACGCAGGACTATAGTCCTCCTGTTGCATACTGGTGCCTGCGTCCTGTGCCCCTAACATGCAACAACATACAGGCATACATCACATGCATGTTCGCTCGCCAAGTGTAAGCACAGGTAGCTACAACGTTTACTCAAACGCATTACCTGCTGTCCGACCTGCAAGTTTGTGATTAACGTTATGCGTGGTGGCGTATTGGCGTTTGCCCAAGTACTGGCAGCAGCAGCCTCTGCGATAGCGCTGGTTGCATCACTACTGATGTCGCCCTCCGCCAATATTGTCCACGTCTCCAGGTCGTCAACGCACACACCGTCCACAGAGCACTTGCCATTACTGCAGGCGCGCTCCCCATCGCACAGATCCCCCACCACCACGGTCCTGCGCGCAATGATGAATGAAGTTTTGATTGGCGGGGTGGGTGCGTGCAACAAGGGGCGCCGCCTCTCGATTTTTCATTTAATGCTTGCTTTGGACACTTAGGGTTTGAAACAGTGGCTGAGGCAAGCTGAGTAACTGTTGAGTGGTCTGATCACAAAAGCAATCCATAATACAGGTTACAAGACCTGCGCAAATGCAGGGGGTTTCTCTAATAAAGAAGGGGGGCCATGGATGCCCCCAATGCCATTGTTATGAAGAGGCTTCCAGTTCCAGTTCCGGTTTTGAAGATTTGGTGAATGATGCAGCTGTCGTACAGTATGGCACCAACCATCAATATATATCCGAGTTAGGGCGTGTTCGCAGCATCTCGAGAGGCCTTTCGCCAGCCCGCAACGACAGTGACCCATACGGCCGCATTGTTGACCAAGGATGCGAGCGACCAGTACCCTGCTTCGTTCAGCGCCCGGTAGTGTTGCTTAAGCCTCGACAGAAACATTAACATTGACACATTTCGCTTGCATAACAGCTCGGAATGCCCAGGATAGACAATACATTAGGATTTGCGATTGCAAGGTTGCAGGTCCAAGATTCGGGTCGGCTCCAAATGGCTTCGGGAGTGCAGCTTGGATAGCCGAGCATTTCAAAGAGAGTTCGAGTCCGCCGCCCCCGGCTGGTCACTACTATGGGACACGGATACTTGCACAGCCCGAGATGTGCGCTTAATGGCACCGGAGAGGGCGCTTGAGGGCGGGTTGGTTGAACATCCAACCACTTGCCAGTGGACGGTCTCAGGAGACGGGTAACACAAATTGTGCCCGCAGGCGTATACCTGCGAGAACAAAACACTTCTAACCAATGGCAACTCCCTCCCTGTTTCATCACTTCTCCCCATAATACACGCCGGGGTTCATGGTCTGGAGTAAATTTTACTCAGCTCGGGAAAGGAATGGAAAGGAAAAAGGAAAGTTGGCCATGTAATGTCCCCGTGCATGCAATCATGCTTATCAGGGCTTTACCTGTAGACAATCATCTCGGGCACATCGGGCCAAAAAAGATGGAAAGAGATTTTGTAGATTCCCGGAGTGCATGTGTCTAAGTTGCAGTACTCGAGCCCAACGAAGTTGTACGGCAGAGGGTTCGGCACACCCGTAGCACACGCCCGCACCTGGGAGGCGCAAGTACGACAGGGGGTTGCACAGATGGAAGCCAGGCATCTATATCATGTAAGGTCGGGTACCCGTAAGAATGCGCGCCTTTGCTTGACGGAGCTGTTAGATCGGGAACATAGAAATGTTCCACCAATACTTTCACGCCCAAAGTATGGTACCGTCATCTGGTCGCTTGCATGGGCTTCCCGCTTTCGGGCTTTCCTCCTCCGCCGTTCCTTTCAGCCATTTCACCGCTGCCTATCTTGCCGACCCCCTTGCGAGTATGACCGACAACTGAGCAGCAAATAGAATTTTCCATTATGGAGTCATCACTCACTTGGTGGTTCAGATCCCCGAATGTGTCCAGGGTTGCCGTACTGCCGGGCTCACAATCGGTTGCCGTTGCGCCTCGGCATGGCAGGTACGATGTTCCAGCTGTGATAGTGATGACCGACTCTCCGTTCAGAACCAGGCGAGGGACCCGTGTTACGGCAGTGGAGACGGCTGCCTGATTGGAGACCAGACCAGTAACGCCACACATGCCGCCTTTGCTGCAGGCACGCAGGCTGTCTTCGTCTTCACGCGGACATTCGTACTCAGGCGCCGGACACACAACATACACACGGCGATACACCGTGCTTGCGCGGTTGCCGGCGTCATCAACGACATCGTACGTAATAAGGTACGGCACACCACCCGCGGCCTCATCGCCAGTGGGCTCATCCGTCGACACGGTGCCGACCTGCAAGCCACTGGGGCTGAAAACACGTGTGAGGATGGTACTCGTGAGGTTGACAGTTTTCGTGGTTGATCCCGTCGTGGTGCCACTGCCGCTTCTGGAAGCCGCCACCGGAACAACATCCACTGCTGCCGCGCCGGCATCCACGTAAGCCGAGCCCGTCAGGACAACGTTGATCATGCCCCGCGCCCCGGCTGGTGTGACATACAGCTGCCCGGTCCCCCGGATCTGGATTGTGGGCGGAATGTTGTCGACCGGAACTTGGAAACCCTGTGGATGATGCAGCGCGTTGAGCGTACGTAGTAGTAGTTGTAATAGTAGTAGTTGTAATAGTAGTAGTAGTAGTAGTAGTAGTAGTAGTAGTAGTAGTAGTAGTAATAATATCATTGTTTAATAATAATAAATACATTATTATCACAAAATAATGATAAATTGCTTTAATAATTATTATTATTACCAACAAAACACATAATATAATATAATATAATATAATATAATATAATATAATATAATATAATATAATATAATATAATATAATATAATATAATATAATATAATATAATATAATATAATATAATATAATATAATATAATATAATATAATATAATATAATATAATATAATATAATATAATATACCGTAGTGCTACTTATAGTTCGTGCTACAATAATTCGGGAGGCACCACGAATATGTAGCACGTACAAATTCTAAGGTATCCCAAGGGATCGCAGCCCCGAAATATCTTACCCTCCGAAGCCGGTCGATCAAGCGAAGTTTGATAAAATATAGTTGGTTATTAGGTCGTTGCCACTGGTACTGAACTGTACAATCGGTCCAGAATTTGCTAGGGCGTTTCCAAAGTGCGAAAATGGTGAGAGACCATGAGCCTAAGGGTTCCCGGTGGAGGGAGACTGACTGGAAGCTGCAGTTTGAAAAGCGCCGAAACTTTGGAAGGGGCCCCGAAATTTGTATCATGCCCGCAAAATCTGGTCCGGCCTTCCCCGAAATTCAAAGAGCACGTACAAATTTCAGAAAGTTTTTTGATCCCTCCCCGAACAAAGCGATCACGAACTATAAGTAGCACTACGGTAATATAATATAATACGCCTCAGCCGGAGGCGTGTATTAAGGGTGCAGGGGTGGAGAGGGTGGGTTTCCCCTGCCCTTTGCACCTCCCGCCACCGCATGCGTACACACAATAAGGAGTGGGGGAGAGAAAGCTGGTGGGAGCAGATAACAGGGGGAGACAACTCGGCCGTTTACCGGGCCTTCATGTACAAGTGGTTAAGCTTATTAAGCCATTGCCTTGAGCAACTCAACAGCAGATGACTAAAGCGTCATCACCGCCACTTGCTGCAAACGCAGATAGAAAACACGGACCCATACGACCCGCCCATACCTGCATGCTGCTTGCCTGTGGTGAAGATTCAGTCGATGTGGTCGTGGACATGCTTTCCAGCTGCGAGTTAAGGTTGCACGAACCAAACACGGAGCACCCCAGAGTGTTGGGGCACCTGCGCGCGAGGAGTGTGGACCGGGCAACCGAGCTGGTGCGGCTTTTGATACGACAGTGCTATACATTTCTCCTGTTTCATCATTCTCGGCGATATAAAATGCACTGCTGTGCGACCAGCGGCACGGTTGTCCTTAATGATATCTTCCACTGAACTGCACCCCGGTGGTGCTATTTACAGCAGCCCGGCAGTAAGCCGTGGTACCCGACCGAGCGTTACAATTTGCTATACTAAGGTTCGGGGCGCACTGGATTGTTAGGCATTGCATTGCTGGGGAATTTACCAACGGCCTACTTCCCCACCAGGCCGAACCCAAGCCGACCGCTAAACCGAGCAATGCGGTTCCGTGCCTTTGGTGGCACATTACGTAACGGCTGCTGGCCCTATGACCTCTCTGTTGGGACCGCTTGGACACCTATCTGCATGCCGCTGCGTGTGAGTAAAGTACAAATGCGACTGATTGCGCAAGAGTTCGAAACCTTTCCTTTCCGCATTATGGCAAGACTTTAAACTGTGAATTACCGCGACCAATAAAGTCGAGCCAAA